GCGACTGGGGAGGTGGCTCAGTGGTAGAGTGCTTGCCTTGTATGCATGAGGCCCTGGGTTCGATTCCTCAGCACCACATAAGCAGAAAAAGCTGGAAGTGGCGCTGTGGCTCAAGTGCTAGAGCACTAGCCTTGAGTTCAAGCCCCATGACCAACAACAGCAACAAAAAAACATGTGAAAACAATTAAAATATTAGCCAGAGATAAAGTTTATTGTTTCTAAAGTGTTGCTTGATAGCTAGCCATCAGAGGCATGCAAATCAAAAGTACACTGAGATCCCATCTCCCCTGAGTTGGTCAGAATAGTAAACATGAAGGAAGCAATGTAGGGATGTAGGGGTTGTGGGGAGGAATTCCTATCCATGACTGGTGAAAATGTGAGTTAGTCCGGCTACTGTGGGAATCAGTACAAAGGTTCCTCAAAAAATGAAAACCACCCTGCTATACCTTTCCTGGACATTTACTTGATGGAATCTTCCTTCATACCCATGTTTACAGTAACACTCTTCACAATAGCCAGGTCAGGAAATCTAGATGCCAATAAACAGACGAAAGAAAAAGAAAATGTGGCAATTTACCCAATTTTCTGAGCCTTAGTGAAAATAAAATAAAATCATACCCCCAAGTTTTATGTATGGATGAAACCAAAGACTGTATGTGAGAACTTAGTAAAGATGGAGGATTAATGAGACTCCATCAGTCATAAATTCCAGCTCAGATTAAAATTCTGAAACAAAAGCAAGACACAATGAAATGTGAAAAAGAAATACATAAATATGAGGAGGTAGAACCTAGCTGTTCTGTTACAGTAACAGAAATGGTCACAAAGTCAGATGGAACCAAAGTCTCAGAACCAAAAGCGTTGTTGAAAAATACCAGGATGGAATGAAATGATCTTCCCAACAGCTTGTGGAGTAACATAAACAGCCTTCCTTGCAGCAATTGCTTTTAACTCCGGCCTTTGTCATACAATCTGCAAGTTTTCATGAAAACTGCCTTTTCATTCCTCAAACTCTTCCTTGCATTTTTGCTACCAGATCCTGTGTAGGACTTGCAGAGTGAGGGAAGGGCACTGGGGATGGGGGATGGGCGGTCAAGCTTCAACTTTGTATCTTAAAAGAGAATTTAATGGGGGTCATTCCAATAAATGTCTCTTGTTTCCTCCTCTTTACAACACAGCTTCCTGCCTGGCTCTTGCATTCTAATCCCCTTGCTTGGCTCCTGTGGTGCTCTCTGGCATGGCATAAATGACTTTTCTCATCTCCCCCTGGCCCCACCCCCTATACACACACACACACACACACACACACACAACACACACACACACACACACACACACACACACAGAGGTTCTGTCATCTGTGACTAGCCTTGTAGAGATGCAAATGAAACCCCCCTCCAGCTGAGTAAAGTCCTATTGAATTGCACAACTCCTGCTGTAGCAAGGAAGAAACATTTATCATCTAAGTAGTATTCTCAGCTCTTCTTGCCAGTTCAGTTCTTCTTGACCCCTTCCTTTTCTTTCCTGAGCAATCCGCAAACTAGATCTCACTTTTCTCTACTCATGTCTTTCTCCCATACCTACCCAATCAATACTAGTGGAGGACTTAGGCATTCTACCATAGTCTGGCATAAACAAAGCCTGGCATCATACCATTTCTCCTATCTTGCCTGTCTTCAGACATCCAGTGCCCTGTGCAACCCTGTTATTATCCAGGACAGATTCTTTCCTTCTGCCTTTTCCCTGTGTTTGGGAGGAAACATTCAATCAGCTACTTGACACAGATATGCTATAGAATATTACTGGATACGTATGCCCAACATCGGGACACTTTGGGAGAAAAAAAAAGATGGTATCATTACAGATGAAATAAGCTCCATGTATACATTGACATTAAACTAGGACAGAGATATTACTTCTCTGAATATTATTATCGTGCCCTCCGTCTCTGCCCTGCTGCTTCAGAAGCCACCATCAGGAGCTAGGAGATACCACGCTGTACTGCTCCCATTGCCTGTCACCCAGAGTCTTCACCGCTCCCTCACCATACACTGCCAAGCAGCCTTGGGGACTAAGTGTGTGTGTGTACCACACGCCGGCATGCATGGCATTAGCACCTACAGTCGGGATTGTTCTCACCACTGGGACCAGCACTCACCCCAAATCGAACGACATCCCTATGTCCAGCCTTCCATCCATGATTAGCAAAGATACCTTATGGCCCCCACTGAATGGTCATGCACCTTTCTTTGGGTTCTCCCTTACTGGAACTCCCAGTGAGGGGTGCTTTTTCCTTAATCACACATATCAGAAGGGCTTGTTTGGGACTCAAAGGGGTCTTGTTTGTTCCCATTGCCATTTCCTGTCCATTTAAACTCCCCCCCCCCCCCATTCCCCTCTCCTTTGAAGCCATGTTTTCAGGAGCTTCTCCTCCTCACCTCTGCAGCCTCTGAAGGTCTGTGAGACACTCCACCCCAATATTTGGAGACTTTGGCTTCAGGCATTCTGTCTTTCACAATCACCTCTTACCTTTGTTACTGCATTAGTAATGTCAGGATCCGAATGGAAAACCCTTTCCCACTCAGGCCTCTCACTTTCTTGACTTCTTCTCCAATATATTTTTCACCCTACATGCAAGACAGCCATTCCAGGAATCCCTCACCTCAGCCACAGCTTTTGGCCTAGGGATTTTTGCCATAGGCTCTTCCTACAATCCTTCTCTCCTCATTTCCTATTTCATATATTATTTTTTTCTCTCTCTCTCCTTATCTCCAACACCTGCTCATCCTTCTCACTTTAATTAATGTCTGCCATTCATTTTGTATTGAGAAAACAAAAGTAAACAACAGAGAACTTTCTGTACCCTAGGGGGTCCCTGGAGTGTCAGCCTTAAACAAAAAAACAACAGGACAGTGCCCAGCCCCTGATTTTAAAACCCAGTATTGACTTGGAGCCCACCATTTACCAAGAATATCCATCTAGCAATTCCCCTTACTCTGCATGAATGATTCGCTGGATCATTCTTCGCATCACATCTATGTGCAGCAATGATCTGCCGTAGGCCATCTAACTCCAGCTAGCTACCCATTCTTCTCTTCCCTCTTCATTACGAAACTCCTACTCCAATCTTTCTGGTTTTTTGTCTTCCATTTTCTTCTAAATCCATTCCTATAATGTCACCTCCCCAACAGTCTATCAATTCTATCAAGGATTACCAATGACCCCCTTGCTGCCAAAGTTATGCTAATTTCCCAGTCCTTGCTTAAGTGGTCTATTGGTAGCATTCATTCTGCAGAGCCAGTGACCTCCTTCTTGAAACGTTTTGCTTGATTGGCTTGGAGGTTACCACACTCTCCTCTTCCTCATCTTTTCTCCTTGGCCACTCCTCCTCAGCCTCATTCACTGCTCCCTTCTATTCTTGATCTCCAGACAAACACTGTGGTATACACACATCCTCCCCTCCCTGTCCCCGCCCCCCCATCTCTGCCTTTGGCCTTCCCTCCCTCTCTAGCTATGATGACTTCCTTGGTGATCACATCCCATCAAATACCATTTTCAAGTGGGTGAAAACAGTATCTAGACATTCTTCTGCAGGTATCCTCAGGGTTCATTCTGTCAGGTCCTGTGTGTCTTAGCTCAGATTTCACCTTCCTAAGAGACCTTCCAGGCCATTCTAAATAGAAGAGTGTGCCCAGCCTTCACTCTGTCTCCTTACTCTGTTTTACTTTTCTATATGGACTATTTCCCTCTGACATATACTAATTTGTATATTGAAAGCCTTTTGAGAGCCGGGGGCATTATCTAGCTCATAGAGTGCATTGCATATAGAAAGCTACCAAAGAGTGTTGGATAAAAGCCTGATCTCATTCAGTCCTGACAATCCCCCAACAACCCTATTACAGAAGGATTATGACAGATGAAGAAATGGAATCAGGGTAACCCACTGTCACCCAGCTGGCGACTCATGCGGCCTGACTCAGTGCATACAGAGAGGCCAGGAGGAGCCATGAACTCACATTGCAGGACTACTCTCACTAGGTACAAATCCACTGGAGAGCTGGGTGCCGGTGGCTCAGGCCTGTAATCCTAACAACTCAAGAGCCTCAAGATCTGAGGATCACAGTTTAAAGCCAGCCCAGGGAGAAAAGTCCCTATGAGACTCTTATCTCCAATAAACCACTCAAAAACCAGAAGTGGAACAGTGGCTCAAAGTGGTAGAATGCTAGCCTTGAGCAAAAGAGCTCAGGGACAGTGCCCAGGCCTTGAGTTCAAGCCCAACAACTGACCAAACAAACAGAAAAAAACCTCACTGGAGTAGCAGTAGAAGGTGAGGCATGTGGGGGGGGGGGGGGGTAGATGCCAAGCCTTCCGGAACAGCTGACTCCTTCCAAAATGTACTTGTAACTGCCCATCTCTATTCCTCCATCATAAAATTAAGGTAACCCAGAGGCTACATGGTACTTTATTGGAAAGTTTCAGCTAATGATGTATCTTATACTTTGCTAGCATCAAAATAGTCTATGTGACAATATGTATCAGATTTGGCTAAATGCTTCAAGCCAACTTTACCCTGAGGTCTGTGAAATTTAAAGCTGTTTCCATAACAGCCTGCTAGCTGACATAATTCCTAAAGAAGCTTATACGTTAATGCTCAAGAACCATTTACTATGCTCATGTGCGGCCCACTGAAAATGCCATGACTTGATTGAGCTTAACATACTAGCAAATACTAAGCTATTTAAAGAAATTCATAGTGCAAGCGATAGTCCAAGAGTGTAGGGTTTCCGGTTTGGTTGCATGAACTTTTCAAATACCACATTTTAACTATTTGATCTCTAGAAAGTTTGTCCCCCTTGGCTTCTCAACTATGATGCCTCTCACATATGGGAGTGTAGAATGTAAGAGCTATTCTCATGTAGGCAATGAATGCATTTAATGAACAGATCCCACATCCACCATCGTTACATGGTGAAATGAATTGCTGTTTTTCTGTTTCGAAGGGACTCAGCTGTTCACCCTCCAATACCTCCAAAACCCAGTTCTGCTGTTTCTTCTCCTAACCAGTTGAGACGGGATAATAGGTAAGATCGAGGACCTGGAGAATTTCTTGTCAAATTGAAGTTCCAGAGAAATAAGAAGTAAATTTGTGACCTGCTTTGTGCAAAGCCGGGATATGTTTTCCATGCACATTCACCCGTGAAACACTCACAGGACTTTCCCTCATTTGACTTATCAACTCTTGCTTTTGAATCCTATTGTCTTATGGAAATACAGTTTCATGATAGAAAATAAACCAATATTTGTGTTCAGGAAGTGTCCATCACACGGTTTCATAATCTTGAACCATTTTGCAAGACGTACATTCCACATTTCCATTATCATTATTATGAGATTAAGAAATGGCATACATTAGATATGCTCGATTGCTTGCCTTTGGTTCTTTTGTATTTTTGCTTTTTTGATGGTGATTTTTTTGACACCATGTAAGACACAATTTATCAAGCTATTCTTCAACAAGTCACAATTATAGAACTGTTCTTTAGTAAGAGGGTAACCAGCTAGAAAGTGCTGACCAACAAGCAGTACTGTGGCTCATCAAGCTTTCTTCTGGTGACGAAAACTGGGTATATAAACTTCTATTTAGTAAAACTTCACAGAATCTTTGAAATTTTGTCCTTAGGATGAGAGCATAATTTTTTAATGAGGCAAGAGAATATTCTATCACAGAACTAATTAATAATATGGATTAGACTTATAACTTTTCATTTGTACAATACTTATAATTATCTCATAAAAATAACTTCTTAAGGTTTTATCTTACCTGATTTATCTTCTCGTAGTATTGAGCAATTAAGTGGTAATTTGAATAAGATTTCTTTAAAGAGCTGAGATAAATTGGCCTTTTATCCCCTAAATTTTACTCTAAAATCAGTAGCACTAGAGCAATGAGCTTGTTTAGATTCAAAAGAAGCTAAATTTCACAGGAATTGGTCTTATCCAGTTTTACTACTCTCTTTTCTTTCTTCCACCAATGATCTGAAAAATAAAATGAGGACAACTTGCATGTGTTTTCAACCCTGATTACTTTAATCACAGCTAGATGATTTTAATGAAAGAATATGAAAGGGAAAGTTTTTTTTTTAATGTAATTAACACATGTCCTCAGGAGAACAAAAACTAGTTGAATGTAACTTCTTGAGAACAAGCAAAAGTGGATAAGTAGGTCACCCATGTTCTAAGAAAGAGAACAGAGGAAAAAAATCATATCACAAATTGATCAAGAGATATTGTATTCATAAACTACTTTGTTAAATGGCAATTCCCTTGTACTACTACTTAAAGATAATAAAAATAAAAGTTTTTAAAAAAGTGTAACAGAGGGGCTGGGAAGGTGGCTCAGTGGTAGAGCGCTTGCCTTGCATGCCTCAGGCCCTGAGTTCAATTCCTCAGCACCACATAAGCAAAAAGAAAAAAGCCAGAAGTGGTTCTGTGGCTCAAGTGGTAGAGCGCTAGCCTTGAGCTGAAGAGCTGAGGGACAGCGCCCAGGCCCAGAGTTCAGGCCCTACGACCGGACCCAAAAAAAAAAAAAAAGTGTAACAGAACCTTGCATAATTGAATGTTCTCTCTTCATTGTGGCCATTCTTAATGTGGTAGATGTATTAGTAATACGGATTTATTACCTTCTGTGAACAAATAGCTTGTTTAACGGTATTCAGATGGGATAAGTCTTTAAGAAAAAAGTCATCCCTATGATATATGACAACAAAAAAGATTGTTACTATTGTAAAATACCATATCATTATTTATTATTTTATTATCATATATTATCATATATATTATATAATATATAATACTTAGTATATAGTATATTCCACATATATAGTATATACTATCTATACTATATACTATATATGGTATATATATATGGTATAGATAGTATATACTATAGTGTATATTATTATATACTGTTGTTTAATAGTTAAGTATGAAAATGTTCTGAGGAAGCAAAAAATGAACATAAACATATATAGAACAGGTATTTCTATATGTATCCTGTGAATTAAAGAGTATAGGAAAAGAAGATAAAATGATTATATTAGCATATTGTAATCCAGACTTTCAAACAGGAAATTGTTGAATGTTAGCTAAGCTAAAGACCAAAAGTAAACTTTGTTATGTCAAGTGGTGATATTGTTCTGAAGTATATTTAAAGTTTTCAATATAAGTATCTCCTAATAATTTAAATTTAACTGAGAAGTGTCTTTTTATCTCACATGTTATGTTTAATAATTTAGGCAGATTCGTCAACCTAAACCAGATGTACAAGCAGAAACCAACAGACCCACTGAAAGAAAGATAAGGTACAGTGACTCCTGTGTACACAAATGCAATTGTAGAAATGGTAAGGATGCTTTGCTAGCACAAAGCATTTTAAGAGCATAAAGTAACAGCAAATTATAAATCATTTTTTAGCTGACTTCAGTGTAGTGAGTAATAAGATAAATATTTTACAGCTACTTAAATAATTTTTTTCTTTGTATCTTAAGCCTTATATTTTATTTTATTTTTGATTTTAATTTGTAGACACTTCATAGACATTTTAAGGTCACATTTTTGTCGGTCATGGGGCTTGAACTCTGGGCTTGAGAGCTATCCCTCAGCTCTTCAGCTCAAGGCAAGTGCTCCACTCCTTGAGCCACAACGCCCCTTCGGTTTTCTAGTGGTTTATTGGAGATAAGAGTCTCACAGTCTTTCCTGCCTGGGCTGGCTTTGAACTGTGATCCTCAGATCTCAGCCTCCTGAGTAGCTAGGATGACAGGTGTGAGCCACTAGCGCCCAGCTTGACAGTGATTATTTCTATGCAATTTTGTTAGCTCTTATTCTGAGAGTTGATGTCCATTGTGCTATTCCCCACAGACTTGCTTTTTATTTGTCTTTTTTAAAATTCTTCCCATTAAGCAGATGAAGAAATTGGAGCACAATACAGAGACTTCCTAGCTAGGCCTTCTAGCCAGAAATTTCAGCTTCTATATGATACATCTAATCCATGCTGGGTAGTTTTTGCAAAGTTCCTTTAGTTATTCCATTGATGTAAGTGGCTCTGATAGCTCAAATGCTAGACATGTTTTTATTCTATTATCAGCACTATGTATATTAACAATATATTCAAAATACATTAAATAAGATATATGTTATTATTTTGTACCCATGTTTATGTGAAATTAATAATTATCTAGATATTTATTATTCAGTATGGAAACTCTAGGATAAATAGTAGTTTGAGCCTTGTGGAATATGGGAAAAAGTATTCCAAGCACAGTGAAAAATATAACCATGTACATAAATACATAGGTGTGTATTTAATGCTTGCTTTGAGGAAGAAAAGCATTTATGTCTTGTTAGGTATGTTTTGGATATCCAAAAGGTACCAGATTAGAAAATCTGACTGATTCTAAAGGTTGAGGTCACATGATGAAAAAATATATATCATGTCAAAAAGAACTTACATGAATCATAGTGAGAAATAAAGTAAGGACAGGCTGTGATACTATTGCATTTTAGAACCATAATTTTGAGGGCAGTATGAAGAATAAGCAAAGTTGAAAGGAAAGACATTTTAGAAAGCTTACATTTACCTAGAAAAGCCCATCCTCAAATAGAGAAAAATTACTTATAACAAATAAGACTAAACGTTTTTCATCTGTTGTATGTTTTAGTCATCTTCTATCCTCTCTTCAAATTTTGACCATTCTTCTGACTCATAAGGTTGTTTGCGTCAGTATTTTTTCCCTTTTTATTTAATTGCCATCAATTTTGTAAAGTTTGGACGCTTGTCTGAGGCCACTATAGTGATTTCTATCCCTTAGAGGATCTGTGAAGACAATGACACATTATCTCTTGATAAATGACCTTGATCATAGTGCTGAGTGAATGCTGTCTAATTCAAGACCATCCAGGGGGCTACCACTGCAGTAGGGAAATCCTAAGCAAATCACAGGACCTGTGGACACAGTTGTATGTTATTTTTAAAAATTTTATTGTCAAGGTGATGTACAGAGGGGTTACAGTTACATAAATAAGGTAGTGATTACATTTCTTATCTAACTTGTTACCTCTCCCTCATTTCTCTCTCTTTCCCTACCCCCAATGGTCTCCCCAAGTTGTTCAGATCATTTCCAACATATTGTCTTGTGACTATTGCTGTTGCATAGGTTTCCCTTTTGTCCTTTGTCTCACTGTTTTGTTGTTCCCCTGCCCTTCCCTAGTTCAGATAAACATATATACAATACCTAGGACACTCCAAAAAAGCCAAAACTGGATGAATGAACATAGTTACAGAATAAGATCAAGCTCCTAGAAAGAAGGAAAGACTTGTTCACCTCATATTCCTACCACTTGCTCCAGTTTGAGGCCACATTGGGAGTGTGTGTACATGAATAGCAGGATATAGTCCTTTCTAGTTGAACTGCAAAAAACTGCTGCAAAGCCTTTACCCTGTGATGGCTCCAGCCTGTCCTGCAGTATCAGTACAGGCTCCCACCCAGTGCTGATTCTTGGCATTTCCCAAATGTCTCTTTTCCTCACAACAGTATAGATTTATACCTGTTGTCTAGCACTTCCTGTGTGCTTCAGCATCTGTTCTGGTTGTATCTTACTTAATGCTCTTTCTCCTTCATTTGGAGAAAAATATTCTTTTTGGAAGTATTTTCACAGTGTCATTTTAAAGGTTTGTCGACAGGATAAAAAAATGTTCAAAACATTTTGATTGAAAAGTCTTCAAAGTTCAGAAGAGTCCCAGTTTGAAACACCCAAATGTTTGAAATGAATCCTTTCCTTTTCCCTAAAAACTTATTGTACAACCTGCAGCATTCCTCAGATTTCTCTTATATGCCACACACTAGCATACATAATCTGTGAAAGAAAAACCATAGAATTGTCTTTGCAGTGAGAGTTTTCAGAACCTTTAGCCTTCTTGTGTCTTCTGAATCACCAAAAGTAGATGACGTTTTCCAACTCACCTGACAACAAATTCTTCTCTTCATTCAACCTTACTAACCATTGATGACACATGTTTTGACTACAGATAAACCTTGTTATTCCTTTCCATGATCTACAGAAATCAGCATGGATTCAAGCCCTTTGACCCTTAGACACTTCCATTGATCCTACCATTTAAAATATATGTTCTTCCTTTGAGATGCCCAATAAAATATATTTTCATTGCATTTGAGGGATTAATTATTGTCTGGCATCCATTGCTTAATGTTCCTTGGATCCAGGAGCTAAACTCCTAAAGTCATCCCCGCTCACTTCTGTATGTGTATGTGTATGTGAATGTGTATGTGTATATGTATGTGTATGTGTAAAGCTAGTGCACTGTTTCCTCCTTCCCTTCCTCCATTTCCTTTCTTGTAAAGTAACATTTATAATGTTAGTTACAAATTTTAATGTGTTTTACTGTGCGGTTATCAAATATATATATATATGATATACTTCAATATTTCATTTTAAAGTACAGAACTTGGAATATTGAAACTCCAATATTTTAGGAGAAAAATGTAGTTCCTCCAGTGGGTTCTAGAGATGGTAGAGCCAACACCAAGGCAGAATGATGAAGAATAGGTACGGTGTGGGCAATGTATGTATGTGTCAGTGGGAGATGGCTGGTCTGTGTGGGCCGTGAGCTTCTATGATAGGACCACTTTGTTATTCTACTGAAGTCTTCAATACTTGGGTTACATGTGGACTATCCTTTGCTTTACTAGTAACAGATGAACACCTTCAGCTCCTTCAGTCCTGGCTCCACTGACATTGATCTTTGTTTTCCATTGCTTGAAGGAGTCAGGACCTGGACAACATTGTCAAGGTGGCCACTTCACTTCAGAAAGCTGACAAGGGGTGAGGTCTCAGGCTCTCAAGCTTGATTTTCTTTTTCTCTTGCTGTTTCATCCTAGCTAGTATCTTTAAAAATCCAAATATGAGCCACACTCCCATGATGTTTACTACATATAACTTATGAAGAAAACGCATGCCTCTCTCTAAGTACCCTCTAATAAATAATGGGTGCACTCTTCCTCTGCTGCCTCTGCCAGTGATTTTTTTTCTCCTCCTAGTGACCTCAGCTGTCCAACCTTATGCCAAGTCTCCAGCTCTGAATTTGTGTTGCTGGCCTAAATCTCCATCTCTGTTTCACACCTTCATTGAGGATGTCCTAGCCCATGTTCAACTTTCTTCCCAAAGTGCTCACCTTTCTGGAACCATGATAACTTGGTTTGTTTTATGATTGCTGGAGATAGGATGCAGGGCCTCATACATGTGAGACCAGTCCTCTGCCACGAAGCTACGTTCAGAGCCCTTGAACTCAGTGTTGATTCTTCATCCTTTCCCCATCTCTGTGTAAAAGAGGCATGTATGGCTTGAACATCTGAAACACCTCTCTTGCCCATGTGGCCTCACCCAGTTAAAAAACTCACAGTCCATTCATATTTGCTTATATCCCTTCAGTCTCATCTTCTAAACCGTTGCTCCCCATCAATGCTAGTTTTTTTTCTGCCCAAATATCCATTGTTTCTGTCTTTACTGTCTACTTAATTATTTATAACTTTCTTGAAGGCTTTGGCTAAGCTGTTTCTAGTGTAATGTTCCAATTATTTCTGCCTTCATGCATATATTTATTCTATGTTCAGTGCCAGATTAGACTTTTCTATAATCCCAGATACTCTACCTTTGTTTATTCCATTCTGTCTACACAGCAATCTTGCCCATCCTCAGGGTCATCATATCAACCTGTGCAAATCCTTCCATTTCGGAAGGTCCTGATCACATATCAGGCCCTCTGTGAAGTGACCTCTAAGCGATTCAGTGAAATGTGACTTCTGCCTCTTCATGAAATTAGAACCCCATTGTTTATACCTCATACCTAATTGTGTTTGCCTTTGTCCCATGTTATTGGTGTAAAGGCATGATCTTCCCTATCATCTCAACAATGCTCAGTGTAGATATTTTGCCTGATCACCAGATATGATTGCATGTCAGGTATTCTACTAGCTCAAAAGAGCTATTTATATAGCAGGCTATGGTAAAATCATGATGAGCAATGAGAAAATTCTGGGTATAAATATTTCATTGTTTACATCCCAAGCCTGCAAACCTTTTCATTGTTTAATATAGTTTAATGATTGGAAGAGAAGAAAACAGAAGAGGGCTATTTGGCTTTCTGTGCAAATTTGTAAGCTAATAAGAGCCATGAATCAGGAGCTTTCAAGGTATCTGGAATGTTTTGTTCCCATTTTCCCTCTTTCATTTAAATGTCTAGATCTCTAATTCTATTCATTTACTTTTGTTTGAGGGAATATTTTGTTTTCAATGGAGATTGGACAATATTTTTTGGCATGTTTGAAGGGGGGATAAGTGAGTGAGATGGACGGGAATTTGTAGTTCTGCATAAATCAAACAAAAGCAATGAGAATAGCCTTTGGATTGAATTTCCCATTACCATTCCCAATCCACAATGCTCAAATCTCCCAGCCACAGATAATGTATGATGGGCTGTCTACAGGAACAGAGATAGCTTTATTTATCTGAGCTGTTCTTTGAGGAAGAAGGCGTTACTGCTATCTGATTAGGAACATTTAATTTGTTGCAAATGCAATGGTGAAAGAATATCCAAAGCTTTCATCAATTTACAGTCATTTTTGAAAGCTTAGGTTCTTTATTTAGAACATAGTCTCCATTTGCTTTATTTACCACCGAGTATCTATTCATGATTTATGCTATTTTTCTTGTCACAAACACAGGCCATCCCAGATCCCGAGAGTCTTGTTCTGTGACTCTCATGTCAGTCAAAAAGGTCTGGCACTGAATTTACAGTATTCTTGGGTTTGTTCTTTCCATTTGAATGCAGCCTCAGAGTTAGTAGAAAGAATTTTAACCAATGGGGCTGGAGGTGTGGTTCAAGTAGTAGAGCAACTTCCCAGCAAGTGTGAAGCCCCGAGTTCAAACCCCAGCACCACCCAAAACAAACAAACAAACAATGGAGAACCATGTTAGGTCACTAAGTAGTATTTGTTTGTTTGTTTTTGGATGGGGACATTAGGGTATCAACTTAAAATATATGTTACCATTTATTTTGAACTTGAAATTCTATCCTTAAATATGTAAGATTATGTGAGACAATTAATCTATGTTTGGCAGTTAACTAAACTTTAAACTTGTTCAGGGAATCTAAGAGGCCTACCCTCACAGCTATTCTGATACTAGCATTATGCTAGCTGTCTTCACTCTGAATAAGTGATTCAGCCAATTCATCCTAAGCTTGAGACAGTGTCTTGATGTCTCTACATTCATTAAAAAAAAAAAATATATATATCATATATATATATTTATATATATATCAAGCATGTCTTCAATGTAAAGTTTATTATTGACCAGATCCTATTTATTAAGTTGGCCACAATCAATGACTTGCCAGGCATCATGCCAGGTGCTCTATATTCCTAGATAACTAAGATGGATATTCTCATTTTACAGATGGGAAAATTGAGTCCACACAACAAAGGCAACTCATTAAGAGCCAAGGCAACTGCCCAATGAGAAGTGGTGTCCCCTAGATTGGGATGGATCCAAGCTTCCTGATAAATGACTTGGAAGCCTGGATGTGTAACTGCTGACTTTCCAGGTTTTATGGCTTTCTGGTCAACACTGGACATGACTCAGCTCAGGGACATTCTTTGAGTGAGCTCTGAAACTGTGATTCTAGAGCAGCAAGAACTGAGATTTGTGAATGGAAAAAACTAAAGGAGGCAGGCAGGAAAAATGGAGATGAGGTGGGTGGGAGAGAAAAGAAAGGAAGACACTGTGGGTAGCAAACTGAAGGAGGCAGCCAAAGGCCTTGGGGAACACGTCACTCGCCTGGATGTCTATGTGGGGGAGAGAGCTGAGTCCACGTAGCTTAAGAGAAATTCCCCAACTCAGAAGCTTGGCTTAAATAGATTTATTCCAGAACAAACAGCCAAAAAGTGCTTTGGGTTCCCAAATATGGAAACAGGCTAGCAAAATTAGCTGACCTAGAATAAAGTAGTAGTAGAATTTAAGAAAGAAGCCAGATTTACAGATAAGCCAATGTCTTCCAATTTCTATTTTCTATACAAGGACATTGTCCAAAGATTGAATCTATAATTAATCAATGTACTCTATATTTGTTGATTCAATTTAAAAATGTGTATTAAGCAGGGTACTGGTAGATTTGTAATTCTAGCTACTCAGGAAGCTCAGGCAAGGAAGACCAGAGTTGGAGAACAGCCTAGGCAGGAAAGTTTGCAAGACTCCATCTGCAAGATAAATGTTAAAAGCTGGAGGCATGGCTTAAGTGGTAGAGTGCCACCTAGCAAGTGTGAGACCCTGAGTTTCGGAATCACAAAAACTGTAATTCAAGCATCTATTTAAAGATATCATATTAAAGACTGGAGAGGCTGTGATATAAAATACAGTCCTAAGTTTTAAGTGGTGTGTGTCTGTGGGACAACAAAATATTTGACAAGTATGAAATTGCTATAATTCAAAGTATAATGACTATATCCCTTATATTCATAATGTAATATAATTATATAATTATAATATATATGTTATAATATACTATATATGCTATATATATAATACATATATGAATATAAGAAATAAACTCCCCCTACAGTGCTGCATGGTTTCCAAATATGACTTCTTAGTCATAAGGAAAGGGGACTCTCCGTTGTTTGAGGATTATCTTGAAGGATACATAAGCTTTGTACAGATAGTCAAAGTGGGATGTGCTAGCTTTCAGAGCACTTATTTTAGGGTGACTCTGTCTTTGGACTCTGGGCCAACCTTTACTAACATGAGATTATTCTCTTTCAAAAGCAAAGAACTGGATAATCTCATCAAAATGAACAAAAGCTTAAATAGGTAAGATTTCAAAATGTCTATTTTTGTCTTACTACTTAATTCTGTGTTATGAAATAGCTTTTCCATCATAGAACACGGAGATATGTATGCCAATCTAGTAAAAAAAATATCTTTCTAATCTCGGGGGGTGGGGTGGAAATAACCGTTCGTTGTACCATTAGTATGAATATTTATTGAAATGTAACGATAGAAAGGTGTCTTTGATTTTCATACTCTATTATAGTAGTTACATATAAATAACGATTGTTCTTGGATATTATTACTCCAGCATATACACAGAATTTTGTTTGATTATTGAATACTTTATTTTAAAACCCACTGAAATCTTAGGAAACATTATGTTCTAATTTTGAACCATTTATACTTGCAAAAGTTAAAATATGCTAAGAAATGTGAATAATGGCAGCAGAGAGGGTGTTAGGGAATTTTAGCTATCTCTCTGCTCTGTGTACTTGGTACACTCTTACTACTAGTATACTTTGCATACTAACAAGCTATCAGTCTGGGACTAAGTAGGAGGAGGAAATTTTTAAAAATGTCAAATGAATTCATTAATCTGAGATTCATGAGATGTTTTTCATATCCTGTTCTGACAATAGTGATTAGCCGGACTGACTACTGACAAGTCACTTAAATCTGTAGCTTTTCAAGGAGAAAAAGTTTTAAATCAAGAGTCACTAAAGATCCTCGATATGGGTGGATCACACCTATCATCCCAGCTACTCAGGAGGCTGAGATCGAGAATTGGTGGTTCAAAGCTAGCCTGGCTAGGGAAGTCCACAAGACTCTTGCCGCTAATTAACTAGCAAAAAGTCAGAAGTGGAGGTGTGGCCCAAGTGGTAGAATACCAACCTTGGACAGAACAAGCCAAGTGTGTTTGGAATCAAGTAATATTTTAGAACTTTGGCTTGTCTTTCTCAGTTTCTGCTTACTATGTTAGGTGTAAAAGTGATCTGTTTATATGGCATCTGTTATTATTACTGATGAAAATTATAATCAATATATTTAAAGAAATCAAGGTCTTGATGGTCTCTTCAGAGCAAGCGCAAAGGCAGAGCAAACAGCAAAAAGGTAAGTGCACTTGAAAAGTGTTTGTCTTACTCCTTCAGCTGTTAGCTACTGGGTGCTGCTGCATTATTTCCCACTCATATGCACTAGCACTAGCAGATGGTCGAGTGCTCCCGGCATTGTACATTTAGTTCTGACATAATTTCCTGGAAGGATTCTGCTCTCCCATTCAGTAAGAGAAAATGAGCAATTCATAGAGAATGTTTATTGTATCTGACCTTTCCAGAGACCACACAATTTTATTTCAATATGAATTTTTACTGGCTTTTCTTCCCCTGTGTTTACAGAGCCCAAAGTCTTGAAAGTCTCATTTATGTGAATACCAGGATGGACAAAGATGGCAAAAGGTAAGATTTGCTAAAGAGAGGCCGCTCTGCTTCAGCCCAAGACTGTCTATTACTGTTTTCTGGGGTAGACTTATTCAGGGCCAGGTTTAGGCAGGCTGGTGTACAGGGCTTTGAGCCAGGGTCAGGAGAGGCCAGGTGATCACAGTGCTGGCTCTCAGTGATGCTAGCCAAGTGGCTTAACTTTGGTTTCTTTATTCCATAAAAGGAAGGCTATGGCCTAAGTAGGAGTAGTGGACACTAGGCTTGTTCATGAACTAAATTGATTAATTATTAGACACCAGTCTATTAACATAGCCACTCACTACTGAAGACTTCAGAACACAAAAGATACTTAGCAGTTGGAATTTGTAATATTTCTAGTATACATCTTTACCTTGTATTTATAAACACTTTGCAATCAATAGCCATGCTATCATTTATTTTTATCATAAAGTGGGTTAATGACTATTAATTGAAATATTAGCATTGAAGAGATAAACATAGAAAAATACTTAAAACTGACTTTTCATTACTGATAATATTTTTTCATGTTGATTAAACCAAACTCTTGATAAGTTCATTAAAAATAATTCCCAGAATCCTCAAGAATAGTGAAAGGTTAGGATTTATGAGGTCTCTACTATTTTTCCCTGTATTGGCTGCTTCCTTTGTATTTGGTTAGTCATTAAATTTATCTTTCTAAAGTGATCATTATTTTTATTGTCACAGCTATTTAAAAAATCATTTATTGGTGCCCAGAATGCTAATCTAGCTTTCCAAGTCCATCCTGACACAGATCTGTTCTCAACAATGCCTTTATGATAAAAAGTATTGGCAATCAAATGCAGGATGCTAGTTAAAACAATGATATTATAATGTGAACATGCCAAGTAGCGCAGATGATTTTTTTTAAAGAGAACAGTCAATTCTCTTTATGTAGTTCTGTGTATTTTACATATATTTAGAAACAGTTTGGAGAGCTCCACTGATGTGTTAGAAAAATAGGAAAAGTCAGATAAACGCCACAACTAAATCTCTCTGTCTGTCTGTCTCTCTCTCTCTGTCTCTCTCTCTCTTTTCTTCCCCTGCTCAATATTATAAAGAAACAAAAGCTTTGGAAGTCTTAATAAAGTTAATCAACGGACTGATGAAAATGAGAAAGGGTAAGTAAACCTTCAGATTAGCTCCTCTCACCTTGTTAAATAAGAGTGTTAGACTTTTTTTTTTTTGCCACAGATAATGGAAGCTTTTCCCAAAGGACCACATATTTGAAATGTAGAGAAGCCAGTGCAGGAAAACTAGCTAGATTTTTTTTCTTAAAATTTCAAACATGAACCATTTTTAATGTGAATTAGAAATATAAGACATATAACTGCAAAGTGAGAGGACTGTTGGGAAACTTCTGTAAGTGCCCTTAGATCAGCTTAAATCAAGTACTGCTTTGGAAATTAGTAAAGATAAGAATAATAATATTAAAGGTCTTTGGGGGTCATTTGGCCCTGAAGACTTCTTTTTTTTTTTTTTTTTTTTTTTTGTCGGTCGTGGGGCTTGAACTCTGGGCCTGAATGCTGTCCCTCAGCTCTTCAGCTCAAGGCTAGTGCTGTACCACTTGAGCTACAGCGCCACTTCTGGTTTTCTGGTGGTTTATAGGAGATTAAAGTTTCACAGATTTTCCTGTCCGGGCTGGCTTTGAACCGTGATCCTCAGATCTCAGCCTCCTGAGTAGCTAGGATTACAGGCGTGAACCACCAGCGTCCGGCGGCCCTGAAGACTTTTGATACCACATTTAAGGACATTCTTTTTTAGACAGCTATCAGAGAAAGTTGTCCAGAACTTGCCTGACTTAAAGCTCTGATATTTTTTTTTTCCTAAAGAAGCCGAGATCTTGAATCTGTTGTCAAAGTGAATGCCAGGACTGATAAGAGCAGTAGAAGGTGAGAAATGCTTGCTTGTGTCTGAATCATGATTATTTCTCCCTGATGTGTTGGTGATCTTCTCAGTAGTGTCTAGGGCATCACGTCCTTGAGCTGGCCTCTCCTTAGCCACACTAGTCTCTGGTGCCCTGATATTCACTTTGAATCATACAGATATTCTATGTAAATTTATACTCACATATAGCTCAATAAACTCCTAGAGTTTAACTATATTGTTGTTAGGCAATTTTTATTTATAAAGTCGATTTTTTAATTTATAAAGTCGATTTAACATCAATCTTCAATAAAATAGACTGAAGGAGGCATCTAATAGTATGAGAATATTTTGAAACTTATGTGAACTTTTTTTTAAAGAGGTGAATACCTTGACAATATTATCAGAATCACTCCTAAAGGAAATGGAAATACCACTGGGTAAGTTTTCTTTTTTCTAATTTTTTAAATTGTTCTTATAAAGTTGATGTGCAGAGGAGTTACAGTTTAAAAAGTTAGGTAAAGAGGGGCTGGGAAGTTGGCTCAGTGGTAGAGCGCTTGCCTTGCATGCCTGAGGCCCTGGGTTCGATTCCTCAGTCCCACATAAGCAAAAAGAAAAAAGCCGGAAGTGGTGCTGTGGCTCAAGTGGTAGAGTGCTAGCCTTGAGCTGAAGAGCTGAGGGACAGTGCCCAGGCCCAGAGTTCAGGCCCCATGACCGGACCCAAAAACAAAAACAAAACAAAACAAAAAAGTTAGGTAAAGAGTACATTTCTTTTTGGACAATGTCATCCCTTCCCTCACTCTCTCCCAGTTTTCCCCTCCTAGCATCACCCACAATTTTGATAGTTCATTTTCAACATAGTGTCCAGTGAGTACCGTTGCTAAGTGATCATGAAAATAGGAAATTTGGCTTTTTCGCTTCATAATGTCATTTTACTAGCATGGAGGTGGACAGTTACCATGCCTTCTAATTCCCCATAAAAACCACATTTTTTTTTGATTGTCTAAATATTTGCAAGTGAGTTGCGTTTTCTCTTAGATTTGGGGTTTTGATTTATTTTTAGGATGAATTACTGAGTTCAATTTCCTTGTCTAAGAAACATAGCCACCTTCCCAGCCCCTGACAATTCCCAATTCTTTACCACTCCTTTTGCCCCCCTTCGGTGTCACTCAGCTTATGTGACCTTGGGTCCCTCAGTGAATTTTATCAAAATGGCATGTGTTCCCCCTTCCCCTCAAGAAGTGAATTATTTGGTTTCCTGTTGTATGTGGTATATTTGTATTGCTTTTTATTATTTACCATGACTTTATTCTGAGGGAAATTACTATTACAAAGATTTGGGCTCAAGGGATATTCGAGTTTTTTTCTTCTTATCCTTATTTTTAATATTGGTAAATTATTGTTAATTTTTTCTTATTTTCAAACCAACTAGCCAATTATAAGTAAAAAAATTATATTTAGTTTGTGTTCAGTGTGACACTTCACCTAACATTATTTTCATGTTTAGGGTGTTCTAATCAGGGTAAGGTTGGTTTTGTACAGAAGATTAGTCTCTGGTTAACAAATAAAGAACTTTAAATGGTTGTCAGCTCAAGATAGAAGAATTTCCATTTGCACTTGGAACTTCAAATATTTACAGTGCCATAGAAAACTTGGCTATTTACCACTTCTTATTTTTTCATTTCATTATTCTTTTGATTAATGCTTTAATTAGTTCATTAAAATTTGTTTCCTTATTCATAGAAAACAAGACCTCACTGGACTTATAAAAGTGAACTCGGAAACAAAAACATCTAGAGATAAGGCATTGAAAATTCTCTTCTGCCTTTTGTCAGACATTTATAAACACATTAGAATTCTGAGCACTTACATTTAGGATAGTAAATTGAAATGTGAGCCAAAACCATTCTCCTTTCTCCAAACACATTGTATGAAGCAATTCTATATGAGAGATGCCGAATGGTCTCTTCCATTATAATCTTGGATGGAATTTGTGGTTCAGAAATATTAAGAAATTAAATGGGATTTCTTTTTTACTAATCTCTAATGAGCTGAAATAATTTATCTCCATGTATGTGCAAGTGATATGTGTTTATGCCTACGTATGAAGTATGAGTCTTATATTGATAGGTTGTTTACCTTTGTATGCATAAACAGTATGTGTCTATATAAGTATATGTGTAAAAGTAATGTGTATAAGTGCATGTGTGTGAATAGGTGCATGTGTGTATAAAAATACTGTGTGTCTTTGTAAGTACATGTATGTGAACTATACTTATGAGGTATATTTATGTGTAGTGTTTATATAAAGATATAACAACAAAGCATACTTGATTCAAACAATTCCCTAACCCATGGATTGTCAAGCCAGTCTGGAGAGCTTATGTCTTCTTGATTTTAAAACAGATTGAAAAAAGTTTTGAAACTGAACTTGTTGACTTGCTGCTGAAAACAGTGCACCAAATCATTCCATGTGGCTTCCCTTGAACTCTTTTCCATTCAGCTAACTTTGTGCGGGATATTATTTATTGATTCTAGAATGTGTTACCAGTGCCTGTAGGCTCTGCTGGCAGAGAAAGGGCTCAGCTAGCTAAAAGTAGATGTGTGCAGTGCCATGCTGTCTTGCACTTGGCTGTGGGAGCATGGTTGGGACACAACTACCCAATGAACTAGAGGCCTGAGCAGTCTTATGAATAGGCAGAAGACAAAGTGTGATCCCATTGACTACTGGGTGATTCTGGATGGTAACCAGAAATTCTGAATGTCAGTAGGGAGTCTGAAAGACCTGGGTGCAAATTGTAGTTCTTGCTAACTATGTGCTTAACCTTCAGTTTACTCTTTTGGCAAAGAAGGATCAGAATACTCTCAGGGTTGGCACGTGTTACCCACAAGTCATCACAATAACAATTCAAGTGAATTATATTTTCCTAGTATCTTAGTGCACTAATTTTTAGTTTACCTTGACTTTCTGGGGAAAAACATCCTTGTTTTCCTTTCCAATTTATAATTCATAAATTATGACCTATTTTTTTTGTTGTTGCTGTTTGTTTTGCCCATCTTGGGCTTGGACACTGTCCTTGAGCTCCCTTTTGCCCAAAGCTAGTGCTCTACCAGTTGAACCACAGCATCACTTCTGGCTTTTTCTGTGATATTCAAGATAGGAGTCACAGGGACTTTCCTGGCTTCAAACTGCAATCCTCATATTTTAGCCTCTTGAGTGGCTGGGATTATAGGCATGAGACACTGGTTTTATATGTTTTATAGATTTGAGTGTATACCTGTGTGTGAATGTGCAGAATTGCTTTTATGTGTACATGTATGTGTGCATACGTCTAAGCATGCATGTGCTCATATCTAGATGTGTGCTTGTGTGTACATGAATGTAATATTCAAGTGTACATATGTATGTGATGTGCATGTGCATAATTGCATATATAAGTGCTGCTTTGTGTTTGATAGTATATAGTGTAGTTTTGTGTGTGTATGAGTGGGAACTTACATGTGATGTGTGTGTATTTATATTTGTGTGAATAAACTTTCTGGGGGCTTTTCAAAATAGTAGTTGTGATTTCTCTTTTTCTATTCATAATAAAGTTCTGTATCTCTTTTAAAAATAAAGTCAGATCATGTTTCTTTCTTTACAAATAAGCATCAGTGTTTTTCCACCTGAGATAGAATAACATTCAAATGTTTGGTGATTTTCCCAAGAAAGTCCTACCACTTGTATCTCCCCTATTTTATGTCATCTTTGGGGCTTCTGCATATGCTGTTCCCTCCTCCTGGAAAACTCTGTCTTCATGTTGTCACCTTTCAAACAGGTTATATATGACTCCTGAATATAATTAAGTCACAACCCTTTCCTTGTCCCCAGAGCAGAGGCACCAAGCACTATTTTTGTTTAAATTTACAGCATATATTGTTATCTGAAAGTGTGGCATTTGCTTATGTTTAGTCATCTGTTTATTTCTCCCCATGCAGACTAATCCTGGGAATGTATTGCTGCCATCTATCCCAGCATGTGAGGCAGAACTTAGTTTATAGTCCACTGGGCTTTCCAACTTGGGGATTGAAAGAATGTAGAAGTATTGAAAAATGTATACACCATGAGGTGACTCTTCACACAGTTAAATTATATTTATTTAATTATTATACCATTACATTACTTAGATTACCACATTAATTACCTCACTTTAACTTACTAACTTATGAACTAAGAAATGTAAAGAACCTTCTAGGGCTGGGATATAGCTCAGTGGCACTCTCCTAGCAAGTGCCTAGGAGGTCCTAGGTTCCATTCCAAGAATCTAGAAAGAAAAGATTCTCACCCCCCAAATACAGTTAAAGAAACTTCTCCATTGTAAGCCTCAATTAAGGTTTAAAGAAACCACAATCATGATAATAATATAATGAAAGCATATTCTACAGCCACTACCAACGAAGGAAGAGATTCTTACTACTCTTATTTATTTGAACACTTAAATCTGGAAGTAGTAACCTGAGATTTTTTTTTTTCTGAGTTCCTGCTATTCAAATTCTTTAGACTTCATTTAGACAAAACTCCAGTGCCACACTGGAGTAGCAGCTGGGTTGTCTGTATGGGGTTGATTGTTTCATTATTTACATGGCAAAATGCTGCACATTTGTTGCTTGTAGCCCGGGTATCATGTCCTCGGACATCTGGATGTGAGCAAAAGAACTTGGGTCAACATCTGGTTGCCTACAAATATCTGTGGCTTTGATGTTGTATAGATGAAACCTCCATGGCTTTCTTGATCTGTTCTTGGTCAGGTCACAAGTGTGGAACAAGTGTAAATGTCCCTTTTTGTGGAGGCTCCTTTTGCCATGTGGAATCCTCTGTAGTTCAGAGAAATACTTGTTGTTTATGTGGAAAACAACATGCATATGAAGAAAGTAGAGCAAAATCCATGAAGATCAGCAGACAGGGGTAACAGAGCAATATCCATGAAGATCAGAAACAGACAGGGTAACACTAAAGTACTGAAGTGTTTGCAGTGGTGGCATGGACTTTTATATTATAGTCAATATGTTTCACATGAGCTCTGAAGATTCTAATCTTCCCATTGGTTGTTGCCCAAACAGTTAATTAGGATATGTTTTCTAATATACAGGTAGATATATTAGGATTAGATAGATAATCAGATTTCATATCATGGAGTGTGTGTGTGTGTGTATAAGGTGGTGTTACTGAGGACTGAACTTGTGGCCACATGTTTGTGGGCACATACTCTGACACTTGAGCCCCACCTCCCATATCATGGATTTTTAACAAACATTAATTTATATAAATGTAGTTTTGAAAGAAAACTTGTCAAAAAAAGCCAAAAAATATGGATTCTCCAAAGTTGGTTTTAAAGTTCTACATGTATTGGAGTATACATTCTAGAATGTTTCTCAAGGCCAGTATGTAGACCAATTAAAAATGATTTGTGCATCTGGCAAAGGCTTACCTTTAAAGACATCAAAACATAGAGTAAAATTTGTTCATGGCTGCTGACTCCAAGATTATTGTGTCTCTGAGTCTCAATAAGTTCAGAGATGTATAAGTTTCTATATACTTTTACAGTCACCTTTAACAATCTTCAATTCTTTGTCATGATTTCAATGAGTTCTTAAAGTGTTTCTGAATTTTAACAAATATTTTACTTATTGAGATTCTACCATTAACCTTACCATTTCATTAATGTTTTAAAGTGGTCAGAGCCTCGAAAATCTGATCAAAGTGGCCCCTAAAATAAATAGAAAGAACCAAGAGTAAAGATTGTGTATTTTCTCTCTTCTATCATGTTCTTCCCAATTTGTGGCACTCATACAAAAGGATGAGTTGAAAAACCTTTGGATTGGAACCAGAAAGACTGAATCTCATTACTTGGCAGTGGGGAGTCTTTGAGCAAGTTCCTTGAACTAGAAGCAGAAGCAGCTTCTTTAGTTACAAAATGAGGACCATAATGTTTATTCTGTGTTTGGGATAGATGTAAAATCTCTTTAAAACAAAAAGGTACTACAAATGGAAATGATTAACAAAGCATACTTTAGTTGTATCTGCAGAATTAGAATACATAGGAAGATTCTTTTAATTCACGGTATTTTACTAACAAAACTTAAGAGGAAAATTCACCTTGAGAGCATATATCTTTTTTGATCAAAATGGCAAATGACTATTTATTTGTTTGTTTGTTTATGTTTAAAGTTCAAAAGACCATAATAACCTCATCAAAGTGAGCCCAACAACAGGAAAAAGAATGCAAGGGTAAGATTTTATAAACTCTTCTCTTTCATTTCTTGGTGTGAATGCTTAAAAATATAACTAAATAACCACTTTCCAATTGCTGCTGCTGAACTGAGCTATCTATCATCAAGGAAAAGCTATATATCCTGACTATCTCTTATCTGAAATGTTTTGGTTAACTGATTTCTGACATAAACATAATGAAGGTGCCATTTCACCACTTAAGTCCACAGTTGTCTTTCCAGGATGAAGAGAGTATTTTACTCTTTCTCTCTCTCTCCTTCTCTCTCTCTCTCTTTCTCACAGAATGACATGGTACAAGAGAAAGAGCACTAGAATGGAGCCCGTGGATGTGGGCCTCGGCCTGGCTCTGTCCCTGGTTCTTGTGTGATCTTGGGACTAGCCACTTCTGTTTTGTTCTGCTTTTCCTCTTCAGAATGAGAAAATGAAGCTGGCTAATATCAGAATACTTCTGATGCCAATGCAGTTTCTAAATTCCAGTAAAATCGTTGGTGTCATGGTAAAGCACAACTTTTTAGAACTAGATTGACTTGCTTTAAAGTCCACCCCTGCCGCTGTACCACTTAGAAGAATGTTTACTCCTTCTGTGTCTTCATTTTTCCTTCCATGAAGTTGGGACTGTGATGCTTCTTATATCAAAGGATTTCATGGTGATTCAATGAGATAAATCTCATCAACAACTTATAACTGTGCCTAGCACATTTAAAGTAAAAAGTATTCTAAAACATTAGTTATTATTCATTATCCCAACACAATTTTGATTTATATCATATACATATAAGTGTATATGTTGTGTGGAAATATGTATGTGTGTGTATACAAATATAGACACATAAGGAAAATGTACATATATATACACATATACATATATAAATAAGAAAATTTCAACTTTCATAGATAACCTCTGTTTTAGTAAACATTTTATGAAAATATTTGTCAGTGTCCACTTGTATTTTCCAGCATTTGATGTAAATGTACCATTGACTTGGTCATTGCTTCCATACTTTTAAGGTGCCAAAGTCTTGAAAACCTCATCAGAGTGGCTCCTGAAACAAATACAACTGACCAAGGGTAAGATTTATGAGATACTTCTCTTTCCCTTCTTTTGTATTCACCTTTAAAAATATGATGAGATGTGTAACCCAACAGAAACTCAGTGTTAAGGACCTTTCTTGGGTCTCTCTGGCTGTGCCATTATGGAAGAGAGATGATAGAGTTTGTGTGTGTGTGTGTGTGTGTTTACGTGTGTGTGTGTGTGTGTGTGTGCACGTGCACGTGCACATGTATATGTGTGCATGCACAGTATTAGGGCTTATATTTAGGACTTCACATCTTTTTAATGGCTGGCACTCTACCACTTGAGTGATGCTACTAGTTTTGACTTTTTGCTGGTTAATTAAAGATAAGAGTTTTGAGGATTTGTCTGTCTGGGCTGGTTTCAAACTGAGATCTCTGACTGCAGCCTCCAGAGTAGCTAGGATTGCAAGCACAAACTGTTGATAGAAGGCTTGATGATGGACTTTTAAATTAGCAACAGTTGTATGATTCAATCTAGTATGAAAAATAGAAAAAAAATGATTGATTTTAATTGCTTTTGTCAGCTATTCAAACTTAAAACATTATTTTTAGGAACCAAGACCAGGACAATCATATCAAAGCAACTCCTTCAGCAAATGAAAGGTATGTTTGTTGAGATTGCTGTTGATCTTGAACAATTCTCCAATTTATATATAAAGCATAAGATTATTTTGCTTAGGGCACTTTGAAAGGGGACATAAAAATGAGAACATGTTGACTTATTGATCTATAATAACAAGAGATAGATTTTATTATTGCTCCTCTTTATTTCATTATATTGTTTTAAAGTGATATTTTTGAAGCTAAGTCTATGTAATTATTACTTCAGAATATTCTTTTGACACATTAAAAGTGTAGTTAATAAGCTAAAGGTGTAAAACGAATTTTTTTTTTCTTGGTTGTTGTTTTTGTTTTCCTTTTTTTTTTTTTTGTTAGTCGTGGGGTTTGAACTCCAGGCCTGGGCACTTCAGCTCAAGGCTAGCTCTCTACCACTTGAGCCACAGAGCCACTTCCATGTGTTTGTTTTCTTTTTGTCTTGTTTATTCATTTAGCTGTCTTTGGGAAGGCAAGTAGTGGGGCACAGAAATGGTGGGACAAGGGCTGGGAAGGTGGCTCAGTGATAGAGCGCTTGTCTCGCATGCATGAGGCCCTGGGTTCGATTCCTCAGCACCACATAAGAAAAAAAGAAAAAAGCCGGAAGTGGCACTGTGGCTCAAGTGGTAGAGCACTAGCCTTGAGCTGAAGAGCTGAGGGACAGCGCCCAGGCCCAGAGTTCAGGCCCCACGACTGGACCCCCCCTCCAAAAAAAAAAAGAAAAAAAGAAATGGAGGGACAGGATGAACAAATGTAGCTGTGATACTCACTAGATATTATGTTGAAAATGAACTACACAACTTGTGGGTAGAGACAGGAGGAAAAAATTGGGAGAGAATTGGGGAAGGGATGACATTGTCCAAAAAGAAATGTGCTTTTTCCCTGACTTAGGTAACTGTAACACCTCTGTACACCTTTATAATAACAACTAAAATATTAAACATTTACATGTGTATAAAACTAAATGAACCAAAGAATATTTGCTCATTTCTCTGTCATGAACTTAGGGGTTCATTCTGAAATGACTTGTGAGAAAACCAGCCACATAACATTTTTATACCTGACTAGAATATTTTTTGTAAGCTATTGATTTGTTTCTGTTCTTGAGACATTAAGGTGTATTACATACTAGAGCAAGAATCACTAAAGGCATGGCAAAGAAACTCTGTTATCTCAAAAATAATTATGAAGATTTATGGTGAAAAGTAGTGTGCAGGGAAGGAATTATTGTGAACTTAAGAGAGCAGAAGTACGTGAAAGAGAAGAGGCGTGGGATTTGCAGGACAGGTGTTCTGGTTTTAATTTTGGTTCACTCTCAGTCACTTCTTAGGTATCTTGCTGCTGGAAGTGTCTTAATTTTTCTGAAGCTCAATGTCTTTCAATGAAATGGTAATAATCTACCTCAGTGGTTTTGAAGGTTAACAATATTAGTTAAGTTGGGCAAGCCTGTATCTCTAGCCCTCTGGAAACTGATGCAGAAGGATTACAAATTCATGGCTAGCCTAGGACACATAATGAGAACTTGTCTCAAAAAGAAAACAAAACAAAAGGCAATTAATGGATATAAAGTAGAAATCCAGTAGTCTTACTCATTTTTATTCTAGCTCCTATTCAGTAATTTATAACTATCAAAATTAGGCCAATCTTGAAAAGTGGCAATTCCTGTTGATTTTGACTAGGTTTTATTTTATTTTATCAGAGACCAGAAGTTTGGTGAACTAAGCCCCAAAGCTGTCAAAAACACTGCTCGGTAAGAGAGGAATATTATTTATTTGCTTGTTTTTCCTTCTCCCTAACTAAAAATAGCATGAATATGAATGTAGAACTTGAATGATCATCATAGTTTTTATATGTCCCTAGAAACCTAGATGTTAACTACACTATTTGTTAACAGTAAATAAAAATGAGAAATAGCGGAAAACCTTCACTTTTCTTAGCCCTAGCAAAACCGTTGAAGGAAGGGACTAGAGAAGGGGGCAGAAGGGACATGTCTGTGCACAAGTTGTTCGTGTTTGCTTTGTTTGTGTGACATTGATATGAATGCTTTTGTATCTGGAATTAATATTTATTAATAGTTTAAAAATAGACTTAGATCCATTAGACTCATTAGCATTGCATTCACTTGCTTGTAAAAGAGTCTTTTCAGACAGAGGGAACTTCATGAGGTCCATTGTACAAAGAATTTGTGCTCCCACAAAAGAATATGGTCCTAAAATTTGAAAAAAATTTGAAGTAGTTTTCTTACGGAAATGAAATTCACTTTTTGTCTCTGGGCTGTATAAAACAATTTATACCCTTATGTATTACTGTATCTACCATTTCTATATTTTTTTAAAATAAAATCTTGGTAATGTTTTCATTATTTCCATTTTTATGTTTTCTTGGTGCCAATAAAGATAATAAAGCTTATGCCAGGTGCCAGTGGCTCATGGCTGTATATCCTAGCTAGGCAAGAAGCTGAGATCTGAGAATCACGGTTTGAAGCCAGGACATGTCAGGAGACTCTTTAATTAACTACCAAAAACCCAAAAGTGGAGCTGTGGTTCAAGTAGTAGAGCACTACCTTTAAAGGAAAAAGCCAAGGGATAGTGCTTAGACCCTGAGGTCAAGGCCCAGTACAGGCAAAAACAAAATAAAATGAAATAAAGTACAATTCTCACTAACACTCCTTAATAAAAAACCACTGCAGAATCTTCAATGAATAAAAAAAAGATCATAAGGCTTTAGAGATGGAAGAAAGATGGGTTGGGACCATTTTACAAACCACTGTTCTAGTTGAACCTCTTCCTTTGGTAGAAGAGAACATTAGGACTCAGAAAGGTTAAGTGATTTGACCAGGGTCACAGAGATAATTAGTGGAAGACTGACCGGAGCTCTGTGATCTCTTAGGCAGTGAGTAATTACTGAGCACCTACTGAGTTTCCAGCTTATGACTAGGTATCATTAGTTGCACATTAGGTATAATTATAGTCTGTGAACGCCAAAAAGAGAATTCAGTAGTCATTCTGAATCTTATTAACAGCAGGCAATTAACATAGATTAAAGCTAATTATGTACCAAGGGCACAAAGATATTACTCCAAGACAATAATAGGTTGTCAATTTAATATATTACATTTTGGAACACTCATATACTGCTTGCTGAATATAGGATGTATTGCCAGTATGTTGCATCTAAAAAGAAATAAAAGACACTAAAGGCAATAAAATTCATTTGATAATGTCCTGGGTAGATATTAGAGATAGACAGACTCCTAAAGATGATCTGCTCCAAGTTCTTCATTTACACACTGAGAATCTCAGTCTTATGTGAGGTCTTCCAGCTCACAATCCCACTCTGGTCTTTACATCAGCACTCATATGTTTATTAATCTTCCAAGACATGAAAGTTAATGAAATATTTGAAAACATTGGAGTCTCTAAGAGAGCATCATAGCTAGTGTGGGACAGTGCGGGCGTGTCCTGTAATATTCTCAGAGTCACTTAAAGAATTCCTCAGTGGAAGATGATGCACCAGTGTGACTTTGTGGCCTCTGTGGAAATAAGACTGAAATATTCTAATGAAGTCCCAAGTAATCATTTGTGTAGGAAAAGATGTTGCATTTTTCCCTACATAAAATTTAAATATCATATTCATGTGCTTTTAAACACCAAACTCAATGTATTTGCTTTGACTCCATGGAGACAAATTACATAGCCTACACATTAAGATAAGTCAACCTTATTACTTAGATTGTTGTTTTATGAACACAGAAGGTTGCCTTTTTAGTAGTGATAAGGGGTAGGACATGGCTTGAATAGACTTTCTCAAGATATGGGTCACCATCTATTAAAGAGCTTTAGGATTACTTCAGTGAGTGGAAATCAGCAATCTTAACCCCACCCTGACAGAATGAGCCAAATTGAAAATATGAACATTCTTGTGTAGAAAGGGAGTTATTTCACATAAAAGTATGTGTGTATGTGTGTGCATGTGTATGTGTGTGTAGAAGGAAGTATGAGATTACAATGTAAAATGTGTTTCTTATTGGATTTTATGAAATGCTGTTTCATAAAATATGAACCGAACTTTTTGCACCCAGTTAAAATAGACGTTCCCCTATTTTTTTTTTCATGTTTAATGATGCTTATTGTTAACTCTGCTGGAACATGTATATTCTATGTGGTTACAGTGAAATATGACTTATTTTACATGTAAAAAGCTGGGGCTTTTGAATATACTATTTATATATATAAAGTTTTATTCCTTGTTATTCTTTTAATATTGCTAAACTAACCATTTCAAGCATTGTTGTCTTAGTCCTTTTTAAAACATTTCCATCTTATTCTATATATATATATATATATATATATATACAAGTTGTATTTTATGACTTTATTATCTTATTTAATCTTCAAAGCACCTACTTTATAACAGGTACACTCAGCCCATTTATAAGCAAAACTCATGTTTGGAATAGTTCTCATTTGCCAAATCATTCTTTTAATTGTATTTATAGACATCAGTAGATTATCTTTAACTGAGAATATTATTATTATTGGGGATAATACAGAACAGTGAAAACTCAGGTAGGGACTTTCTATCTACCATGGAGATCTGAGAACCAGGAGGAGAGATTCAGGTGGACAAATTTCTGAGGTGGGCAGAAGCACATCCTATAGAGGAGGCGGGGCTGGAAGACAGAATGGATGTCTTTGCTCAGATCTTTTTCATGCGCCATCTCTCAACAGCTTCCTCACCCTTTGTAACTCTGTGTCAGTGTTTGTGGTGAGTGAAATGTATTTTGTTTTACAAGAGAGGAAAGGACTGTGGAGGAGTAGTGGGTGCAGGTGTGTTGCTGTCCTGGATGGCACTGGAAGCAGATGGCATCGGTCCTGCAATAGCCTGCCATGGCACCTGCTGTGTATTTCTCTTGAGTATGCATTTAGGAGTCTAGACTTAACAATGAAAGAACAAGTACACCAACCAAAACCGAGCAAGTGGTCTCAACAGATACTTCTCAAAGGATGAAATAGAAATGGCTAGCAGATATATGGAAATGGCACAATGTCATTAACTATCCAGGAAGTGCACATCAAAACTACATTGGGGGTCCCATCTTGTCATAGTCAATATGGCTATTACAAACAAACAATAATAACAAGAACAAATTCTGGAGAGGATACAGGAGAAAAGGAACCCTGACACACTGTTAGTGGGAATGTAAATTAGTACAGCCACTATAGAAATCTGTATGAAAGTTCTTTAAAAAAAAAAAAGTAACAGAGCACCATACAAAAAGTAGCACTATCATGTGATCCTACTAGATCACCCACTCGTGAATATAGTTTCAAAGAAATCAAGCTCAGCTTACAGTTGAGATATCTGCACACTCATGTTTGTTACTGCTCTGTTCACAATAGCCCAATCATGGAATGGCCTAGATGTTCATTTACAGAAGAGTAGATGAAGGAGAAATGGTCTGTATACAATGGGCTATCATTCAGCCACAAAGAAGAATGAAAAGTCAAGCACTATACTTGACACAGGAAAGACAACCACATATTTTCTTTCATATGGGGAAACAAAAAAATATGACTTGAAAGTAGAAAAATCTTATTAGGGAAGGGAAAGGGGATTGGAGGAAAAGTGGAGAGGAAAGAGGGTATGAGATGGAAGCAGAGGAGTAGACATGATCAAGTTCGGATATATGCATTTATGAAATGTCACCGTGAAACACATTGATTGTGCCAATGTATTAATAATTACCATAAAATAGCTGGGCATGGTAATTCAAGCCTTTCATCTAGCTGCTTGGGAGGTGGATATGAGACGATTGTAGTCTAAGGCCAACCTGGCCAAAAATAGTTCATGAGACTTTATCTGGACAAATGGCTGGGCAGAGAGGTATGTACCTTTCACCCCAGCTTCACATTATCCAGCCAGATGGGAAAGCAGTCTATGGTGGCCCAGGCAAAAAATAAGACCTTGTCTCAAAAATAACCTATACAAGAAAAGGATGTTGAAGTGGCTTGGTGGTAGAGGGTAGAGCAGCTACTTAGCAAATATAAGATAAGGCACTGAGTTTAAACACCAGTACTACTTAATAGCAACAACAACTGTAGTAGTAGTAGTAAATAATAATAGTATAGTAATAGTAATAGTAAATGGGCAACTTAGAAGGCTCCTTAAAAAAATATCACCACCTTCTAGTCCTTAAAACCTGAGTTATACTGAGGCAGTAAATGAGAGCAAACTACATGGGTAAAAACACTATTCTGTTACTAGAAAAGAAACTGGTAGGGCTTTGCATGGAAGGACACACTTTTGGGAGTATATGTCTATCTGGCCATCTGTGTTAAATCCAGTTCTCCGGTGTCCTAAAGAGAAGTCACAACTTTGGTGAAATACAACTCCTTTTATTAAGAATAATTCCAGATTTAGATCTTTAAAAAATATAATCAGTGGGGCTGGGAAGGTGGCTCAGTGGTAGAGCACTTGCCTTGCATGCCTGAGGCCCTGGGTTCGATTCCTCAGCACCACATAAGCAAAAAGAAAAAAAGCTGGAAGCAGCGCTGTGGCTCAAGTGGTAGAGCACTAGCCTTGAGCTGAAGAGCTGAGGGACAGCAACCAGGCCCAGAGTTCAGGCCCCACAACCAGACCCCCCCCCAAAAAATATATATAATCAGCATTTTATAAATATATAACAATATAATCAGTACACAATTTGGGAAAGTGTTAAGGACTTGAAAATCAGTTTCTATCTTCATAATATTTGGACAATCCAGAGGGAAAAACTGTTAATTACTCTTTGTAATGAATAAGTTGAGTACTAATCCCCATGCCATTGTAGATGCTTTTAGTAATAAAATGTGTGAAATCAGAATAAATTCTCTTTGCTTACAGTATATTTTCTTCTCTTCTAAATAAGTTAAAAGATGTGTATTATGGCTATTCTATAGCAAAACAATGTCTCACAGTTTAATCTTGTTTTCCTATTTATAATGCCCTTGAACCTATTATCTTTAACCCCAGCTGCTTTAATATGTGTTTCCCCTTAAAGAGACCAAGATCTTGATAAGCTCATCAAAGTGAATCATGAAATTCTCACAAACAACCAAAGGTAATAGCACTATTTTTTAATGTGCTTTGGTCAGGAAGAATACGTTGCTTTATTATTATTTCATGCAGATTTATAACTCAAATCTTGGCAACATAACTTTATCATTAAGCCATTCTCTTTCTATTTTTTAAAATTTAAAATAGAAACCAAGATCTAGATAACCTCATCAAAGTGAACCCTGAAGCAATTAAAAGCAATCAGAGGTAATAAAATAAAAGCAGTGAGTTAATATTTTCATTTGTAGATTGCCCCTGGATGAATAAAATTTACACTGTCTGTTTATTGACTTAGCACAATACCCCTAAACATGACTAATCCAAACTTTCCGCTTTTCTTTTAAACAGTCAAGGTTTGGACATTGTTAACGTGAAGCCATCGGCTCTCAGAAACACAAATCGGTAAATGACTTCCCTGATTAATTTGGACATATTCCCAAGGTCTAGGGTAGGATTTTTTTCTCCTTTCTTTTTTGAAGAAAGCTTCTATTTTTCTTTAGTGTTTGAAGTGAGGACACATTTATAATCTGTGTGTCTCTTGTCAACAAGGAAACATGGTATCCTCTTTTGGAGTCAGTTTGGGGCTTATTTGCACATCACAACTTACGAGTGTATGTTCCATCTAGGAACTATATGCCCAGAGATAATCTTCGGTCTATTACTTATATGCCATAGTCAGTCACTTTGGATGTCTATTTTACATAGATATAGTTCATTGCACAAAGGCACATTGCACATTTTAGGTGTTTAACAATAGTCGTGAATTAAAGGTGAAATATCAGATCACTCACTGCTTTTTGCTAGTTGACCTAGAATAATACCTATGACGTTCTAGCTCTAACATCCTGAGAGCTATCATCAAAATTAGATGGAAGAAATCTATTTTATCTCCTTGAGCTATGGACTATATTTTACTCATGAAAAGCTTAATGAATCACAGTGAATTAGGGCCACTGAAATGATTAGTTATATCTTGTATTTAAAATATCATAAACTACTTTGTTGATTGGCAACTCCTATGTACTACTTTAACGACAATTTAAAAAAATTGAAATGACTAAATTCCCTATAGACTTGCTGGTTTATTTCATATAAAATCTTTAAGAGCTGGGCACTGCTGACTCATACCTATAATTATAGCTACTCAAGAGCTGAGATCTGAGGATCATGGTTTAAAGCCAGCCCAGGCAGGAAAGTCTATGAGATTCTTATCTCCAGTGTACCACCAGAAAACCAGAAATGACCCTGTGGCTCAAAGTGGTAGAGAATTAACCTTGAGCAGAAAAGCTCAGGGACAGCACCCAGACCCTGAGTTCAAGCCCCATTTCTGACAAAAAAAAAAAAAGATCTTTAAGACACTCTCAATGAAAAGAATTATAAAAATACATAAATTTGTTCCCATCTCTCTATATCAACAAGTTGAAGAATTATGACAGTTACTTCACTATATTCAATATCCCTTTCATAGAAACAAATATTTCTTTTAGGATTTTTTGTTTTCTGGTACAAGGATTGGAACCCAAGGCCTCAGGCAGGTCCTCTATTACTTGAGAACCTCATGCAGCAGTAAAGTCTTAATACCTAAGATTTAGTTTCTAACATAAAAGACCTGTCATAGTAAAGTTTGATTTGAAGTCCCTTAATTTTGTAAATCTGTTTCATGCTTTACAAAAGTAGATCAACTTAGCAGTATAGACAGAAATATTGCTGCCTGTTAATAGATACCTGGGCCACAAGATGGAGTAAAAGCAGTTCAGGTTGAGCTAATAACTTTTTATTATCAGAGTTTATCTTAAGAAAAGTTGTAGCCAGGTACCAGTGGTTCATGTCTGTAATCCTAGCCTCTCTGGAGGTTGAGGTTTGAAGATTGTGGTTCAAAGCTAGCCTATGCAGAAAAGCTCATTATACCCAAAAGCTGAATGTGGAGGTGTGACTCAAGTGGTAGAGTGCCAGCCTTGAGCAAACAAACAAACATGTGAGAGGACAAGATTCTGGGTTCAAACTCCAGTGTACACACACACACACACACACACACACACACACACACACACACACAGAAGGAAAGAAAAGTTGAATAATAAATGACATAACTTCTTGGTCCCCAGAATGTCCATTTGCTTTCCTTAGCCTTCTCTATAAGGAAGTGTTATATTTGTTATCATGGCTGAGGAAAGTTAAGTTACACTATTATAATCCAAAATTGTCTTGTTGCTTCACCTCTAGATAACTCGTATCTTTTTCCAAACATTTTGAAAACTACACTGAAAAGTATTACCATTGTGGTAGTAAATAACAATGTCTCTTGAGCAGTTCTCTGAAGCTATGGAGAAATCGGTGGGTTTGGTGGGATTAATTCCAGTTGCTCATAAAAACAACAAATCTCAAAGTGTTCCTTTCACTGCCACAGAGAGAGTTTGGAATCCAGTCTTGGCTGCACTCTGCAACATTTTAGTATGGATTCCTATAAAAGTCTATTTTTCACACTGTGACTCACAGTTATTCATCTTGTGCCACAGTGTAAAAGACACCATGCAGTGGATGTGGTCTTAATTAAGGAACAAAATATTTTCACATCTTTTAACTTGAGGAGTTTGTGAGAAGTCCATACTTCTTTTCTTGTATCTTTCCATCTAGCAAGTAATATCAAACTGTGCAAAGAACCAAAGCAAATATACGTTCCATTCTTTGCATTGCCTGGGACTCTCTAGTTTAAACATTATTAGTATAGATTGTTTGGGAGAAAATATTATACGTCTCCCAATCAGAGATATGTAGTATTATTTATTAAAATACAATAAATTCGTAAAGCCACGGATTAAATGGCTTACTTGATGGTTCATACAACTTGGAAGGCATACAAAGGCTCTGTTTTCCACCATTTAAATAAAAATGTCTCAGTTGTATAAGGGAATTTTACTTTGATGTGTTCATCTATGCATACAATCTTCTTTGATACCCGTTTATCTTCCACATTAGGAATAGTTTACTCCAGTGCTGGGTTACTTTTTTGTGTGTCTGTGATTGAAGTCTAAACATAAACATCCAAGAGTTGATTTTAGATGTGCAGATGGTTTGGTCTGAGACTTTGTCTAGCAATTATTATTATTATTTTTCTGGTACTGGGGCTTGAACTCAGGTCTTGGGCTCTGTTCCTGAGCCTCTTAGTGCTTAGTGCTCTACCACTTGAGCCACAGTTCCACTTCTGTTTTTTTTTTTCTGTTTATATGGTACTGAGTAATCTAACCCAGGGCTTTGTGCCTGCTAGGCAAGCACTCTGCCACTAAGCCACTTCCCAGCCCGAAAAGTTGGTTTTTTTTGTTTGTTTGTTTGTTTGTTTGTTTTTGTCGGTCATGGGGCTTGAACTCTGAGCCTGGGTGCTGTCCCTCAGTTCTTCAGCTCAATGCTAGTGCTCTACCACTTGAACTACAATGACACTTCTGGTTTTCTAGTGGTTAATTGGAGATAAGAGTCTCACAGACTTTCCTGCCCAGGCTGGCTTTGAACCACGATCCTCAGATCTCAGCCTCCTGCATAGCTAGGATTACAGGTGTGAGCCACTGGCGCCCAGCCCAACAGTTATTTTAAGTGGCCCCAGAGACCTCATTTTTTACTCTTTTCCTGCCCCAAATGCTATGTCACAGGACTTTGAGAGATTTTAATAGACAAACCATGTAAAAATACAGAGTTAGTACTTTGTGAGACTAGGTTAGTACTCATTAAATGTTAACTAAATGTGAATATAAGTAAGTGATATCTTTTCAGACTACCCAAATCTTCCAATAAATTCGTTTTAACATTTTTTTCTCAGATAACATAATCTATACTTTGTATGCTGGGGATCAAACACAAGGTCTTTTTCATATTAAGCAAGCACTGTATCTCCCATATCTCTATTGACCTCAAATGACTATGTCTAGATACATGCTGACTTCTAATTTATTATTATTATATTTGTTTATGTTCTAAAATTGTGATATATGTTTGTTTCTTTAGAAGCCAGACCCTAGAAAATTTAATTGAAGTAAATTCTCGTGTGTCTGAAAATAAGAATGGAAGGTAAGGTTCATTATGATTTATTTTCTTTCTTATGAATTCCATATTCACCTGTATACATTTTAAAATCTTATACTATTTTCTGGGGAGTTGAATTGTGGTATAGAGTTTAAATAAAAACAATAGCTAGAGATGGAAGAATGGCTGAAGTGACGGAGCTGGTGCTTGCGTGGTGCTTTTGTGACAGCCCATGTCACAAAAGAAAGCAAAGCAAAGCAAAGCAAAGCAAAACAAAACAAAATAGAGTAATCTATTTAAATTCAAAATATTATAGATTCTGGTGCTTAGCAGATGATAAGAGGAAAAGAAATAATCAAATATTAATTTTTAGGACTTCTTTCTCAGGCCTATCTGATTACTTAGTGAAAAGGAGTCATGGAAACTCAAAGTTCTTTACTTAGGCTGTGAGAATTTATTTTTACTTACTGTTGCTTGGTAGATTTTTTTTTTTTTTTTAGTGGTGTAGCAATTACTCAGAGAATATTTTCCTTGGGGATCTTGTGTTACAAAAATGAGCAAATTCCCACAGCCATCCATGTACACATACCTAATTTTCAAATTTTTAATAGCATGAAGTATAATAGCTTTAAAATAACTACAAGATATTTGTCATCACAAGGAAGATTAAGATAAAAGTTTCACTGTTGTTACAATTTATTTACTTTTAGAGAGGAGTTAATAACATTTCTTTTTTTTCTCTTTTTTTTCTTTTTTTTTTTATTGTGAAAATACTGTACAGAGAGGTTACAATTACATGGGCAAGACAATGAGTACATTTCTTATCAAGCATTGTAGCCTCCTCCTTGTTTCCCCTTCCCATCCCTTCCCATCCTCCCTCCACCCTCCTTTAATAACATTTCTATGTTTAGTAGTTCTACTTATATATAAAGGAACTCTAAAAACAGTAAGTTTAGCCACACACTGGTGGCTCATGCCTTTAATCCTAGCTACTCAGGAGGCTAAGATCTGAGGACTGCTGTTCAAAGCCAGCCCAGACAGGAGAGTGTGTGAGAAAACCACTCAGAAAGCCGGAAGTGGTGCTGTGGCTCAAGTGGTAGAGTGTTAGGGACAGCGCCCATGCCCGCAGTTCAAGCCCCACAACTGACAAAAAAGTAAACAAACACAACAGTAAGTTTACATTTTTCATATATTTCTATTAATTGTGTGTAAGACATAATGTTGAGGTTTTTTTTTTCCTGTAGAGTGTGTAAAAGCTCAGGAAAGAGGAACTAGCTTAGTTTCCTTCCACAATGCCTGCAAAAATCTCCTGAATCCAATAGTAAGGTGGTTTCTTTCTGTAGATCTCCAAACCATCTTCTACCTTCTTTAGCATACTGAGAAAGACTGCAACAGAATGATAAGGATAACATTTCGGGACGATCTACTTGTCCTGGAAGCATGCTTACTATTTGGGGGAATAGGCTGGATTAGAGAAATTATTCACAAATCACATTCAAATATTATTTGACAGTGGCCAACGTTAAAAATTATGAGTGAACAATTTAGCATAGTAAAGAACTTGCCATTTAATTTGATTTGATAGTGACTCCAATTTGCATTGAACTTGTTCATGAAAGTATTAATAAGGAAATAATATACAATAGTTACATTAAGGCTTGGGGCTTCATCATAAGAATTTTGAGAAACCCAATTCAGTTTATGTCTTTACTGTTTTGCTAGTTATTTTTGTCTTCTGTTTGTGAGTTTTGCAAACTGGCATTTTGTTTTATTTTTTATTGTTGACTCCAGTGCAAATTTGCTCATCATCTTTGTTCTTTAATGCTACCTATTTTTAACAGGTGGATTTTACCTTATATATAATATAATTTGAATATCTACCTACCTACCTACCTCCATATTTACCTACCTACCTATCTATCTAAGATCAAAATTAGGGTCTTATCCATCCTAGGCAAGCACTTGAATTAAGTATTTTTCAACAATTCCTAGTTGGATTTATTATTCTTGGGATGACATTTTAATAATTATGTTAGAAAATCTAATAACAATAATTCTACTTTTTCACTACTTGATATCCTTTGAACTCAAAAATATACTTGTCAAGCATCTATCTTAAAACAGATTATTCTTTTAGTATATTTATCTCTTTGCTTCTTCTCTCTCTCTTTCTTTCTCTCTGTCTCTCAAGTTTTGTTGTTGGTTTGTTCTGCATTGCTGGGGATCAAACATAAGTCCTCATGCCTGGTAGTTCTACAATTAAGGTGTTAGTTCTACAACTAACTAAGGTGCTCTATCTCTAGCCATGTTTCCTCTTCTTTAAGAGTTCTCTGGAAATGGAAAGCAGGTTTGAGAATTATAAAGCTTGATTAATATCTGAACTCTCCTATAATTTCATCCCTCCTATGTTAGAATTTACCAATGTGAATGAAGAAGGAAAAGGAGCCTTTTTTTCCTTTCAATTGAAAATGTCCTCAATTCCACTGGTAAAAAATGAATATGCCTCCAGTCTGAAACATGCTATCATTTTTAGATGAGCTTTGCCTTTCATTAAAAAAAAGATGGGAACAGAAATGCTCAAAGCAACTCCTGGATCATTTTCATTAAATTGATAAATTCTCAGATATGTTGTACCTAGCAAGCATTCTAAAATGACATGCTTGTGTGAAAAGGTTATGGGAACCAACTTCTGATGGTTTTGATACTCCATGCAAAGCTGTCCTTTCCTGGCAATAAGTAACATGGCACATGCCAATGTGTGATTCATACAGATAACAGTGGTTTCCATGGAGGTAATAAAATAGTCCCTGTGTTTAGTGTGCTTTTGTGCAGAAACCAGTCATAAAGAGGTTCACGGTATGTTAATAATGTAAATTGAATAGAATTTTCATAAAACAAAAAGCCTCTAAGTGGCTTTGATTGTAAGTGCTAACTATGTACATTTGCTCTCTCAGTCTAGATGGCCAAGTGAATGGCTTCACCAGTGCTCTTCTGCACAAGGAATCCACAAGCCCCCCTGTCTCTTTTTATGAAACCAAGAACACTGCCAGGTATGGCAACAAAAAGAAAAGATAGGATTATTCTTCATTTGTTAGTTTATTTGTTTTAAATCTCACATGGGAGCTGCTTCTTCCTCTGAAATGCAGCAATTTCTAATTTTACCTGGGATTAGAGGTGAACAGCCATAGACCATAGTGTTGAGTAGCAATCTACTATTGTTGGGACATCGGTGTAGGATTTTCCTTAGCACCTACAGTTTCAAAAAGCATACTTGTGACATAGCTGTTTACATCCCTTCTCAAGTTCTAAATGTTTCATTTGATCAATTGTCATGGTGGTCAGTTCAAGTCCCCTTTGTATTTGAAATTTAGGGAGATTTATGGGAGAGAAGTAAACATTAACACATGGTACACAGATTTTTGAGATAATATTTGTTCACTACAAATATTATCTGAGTGATCAGTTTTTGTAATTATACTTTGGAAATGGAATGGGAATGAGATACAAGGAAATGTTGCAGCATTGATTAGCAGCACTTTAACATTTATATTTCAACAATTAGAGTTTAGAAGGAATACAAGCTTTGCTTTTTATATTGAATTGGATAACAGCCTAGTTATTTTTTATTATCCTTATAAGGAAACTTTCAACATGAAAGAAAATGGTTTGTATTACAGCTCCAGTGCTGGAACCAGGCACCAAGGACCTAGGGACACCATTGTGTACACAAGGACATACATGGAGAATAGGTATTGGGAATGTGTTTCAATCACCTTTCCTTATTTTGTAATTATGTAATTGTCTATCTTAAAAAGAGATACCAGTTGTTTAGGGTACACTTCCTACCAAGAGAAGGCCAAAGTGATGAGTATAATGAGCTCTAGTTGTAATATCATACTTGGTATTGTTTCCAATGTTAAGTAGTTCATAATCATAGCCAGTGGCTGGGACTAAACAGTTTAAATCATACATGTATATACAACAGGGCTGCCATTTGAAAGCTCTCACGTGTATGTGTGTGTGTGTGTGTGTGTGTGTGTGTGTGTGTGTGTGTATGACTACTTGGTTATACAATTATAAGATTTTTGAAATTCTATAAATATTTTTATATTAATATGGTGCTCCCATCTGAATTTGCTGTCTGTAACTACTGTTGTTTTCTGCCAGTCTGAAGAGAAGGTGTAGCTTTGAGTAGATGTAACCTGGGCTCAAATAACAGGGACTGGATACTCATGAAAGCTGCTGTTGGAGTGATAGATGAGGAAAATGGTAAACAAGATCAATGATTCATAACCCACTTGCTTTTTTATTTTATTTTTTTGTTGCTCATAGGACTCTTTTTGCTCAAGGCTAGTGCTCTACAACTTTGAACCAGAGTGCCACTCCCAGTTTTTTTTTTTTTTTTGGATTGGTTAATTGGAGATAAGAGTCTCATGGGGGACTTTTCTGCCTTTAGTGGCTCTGAACTTCCATGCTTAGATCTTACTTACTTTTTTTTTTTTTTTCCGGTCGGTCATGGGGCTTGAACTCTGGGCTTGGGTGCTGTCCCTCAGCTCAAGGCTAGCGCCCTACCACTTGAGCCACAGCACCACTCCTGGTTTTCTGGTGGTTTATTGGAGATAAGATAAGTCTCTCGGATGTTCCTGCCCAGGCTGGCTTTGAACCATGATCCTCAGATCTCAGCCTCCTGAGTAGCTAGGATTATAGGCGTGAACCACCGGCACCCCGCTTTACTTACTTTTTAAGGTATAAAAAACAAGGCTCAGTGGTAGGGTAATGTAATGGGGGTGTGCTTTGGGAAACTATAGGTGTCAGGAGGTAAGCAATCCTCTAAGAAGGCTCTTTAAGCCCATGCATAATTTACCTTTTAGAATGCAACTTCCAAATTGCCTTTTCTCTTAATCCAATGTATTTCAGTGATTTCTGCTGTTTTCAAATTAAACTAAAAGATAAAACATTTCAGAGTAAATTTGAAGGTAGCTAGAAGCTACTAAATCTGAAAGAAATTGATAAATAGGTAAAGAGTATTAAATACTATAGTGACAACAAGACACCAAGTATTGGCATATAGAATAAAAAGGAGATAGGCTTTTATTTTATATTAATGTAATAATCTTTTTCATGCATTTTAACCCCAATGGAATATTTCATACAAATATTTTACTTTCTAAAGAAATATCTCATGGGAACTAATGGCAAACAACTATAATACTGATTTTTTAAAAAAAGGAAATGATTTTTCAGGAAGTAAGCATATTCTACTAAACATCATTTTGAATTTATTGAATAGAAAAATAATAGAATTTAACTTGGTCCATAGAAGTACATAATCTAAAAAAATCATGCTGAATTGCTTAACTAAATGACTATAGTCAATTTTTGACTACTATTAGTATTATTTTGATATTCAATGGAAGGATATTATATATATATATACATGTATATATACACATATTTTTAATATATGTAAGTATATATGTATAAGTATATGTCATATATGTATATATATATACCTAGCTATACATATATATACTATTTATATACACTATATGCAGTATATATATATATACACACACACACAATATTGTATATTGTGTGTATCATTTGTATACCTGTAGAACAGTAATCACCACATATGGTCTCTGGGTCATTCATCAACATCACTTCTTAAAAATGGAAATAATTTGAGAGCCAGGTGCTGGTGGCTTACACCTATAATCCTAGCTACTCAAGAGGCTGAGCTCTGAGGATCATGGTTCAAAGCTAGCCCAGGCAGGAATGTCTGTGAGGCTCTTATCTGCAATAAACCACCAGAAAACCGGAAGTGGTGCTGTGGCTCAAGTGGTAGAAGGGTAACCTTGAGCTGAAGAGCTGAGGGACATCACCCTGGCCCCACGACTGACAAAATAATAATAATAATAATAATAATAATAATAATAATAATAATAATAATAATAATTTGAAACTACTTGAGACTTGTTGAATCAGAAACTGCAGGTCCAAAGTCTCTGTTCTAGTAATCTGTGTTTTAATATACTTATCCTGTGTTTCTGATTCCATTCAAGTTTGGGAAAAATCATTGTAAATGGTAATGTTGTAACATATCTGGATAACATTGTTTGAGGGCAGAATGTTCTGGAGGGACTCTTTTTTTCTATATAACCTAACAAGATTAGTGATACACTTCAAACATCTCAAACTTCCCTCAGATCTACCCTGACAGGCAGTACAGGATTGCACAGTCACTAAAATCAGGGTGGGGTTAAGTCACATTAGTCATGTGGTCTTGGCAAGGTTACTCTGCAAGTTTCAGTTTCCTCATCAATGCAATAGGAGTAGTGACATATGATCACGCCTAGACATCTATAAACTCCTACATGTAAGACATGCTGTGGCATAATGTGTTTTATGAAGTACACTGTAGTTCTGGTAGCCATCTGCCTATGGGATGTACAGAGTGAATGAGGAAGCATAAGAGAGAAAGAGAAAGAGAGAGATTTCTTGTTATAAAGTATTTCAGGTGAGGTTTGTAAATTATCACTTTCTCTGTGAAACTGAACATCATTGTTCCTGTTCCCAGGTAGCAGGAGACTCAGGAAGCAATTGTGAGAAGTCAGCTGGCTAGAATTTATTGCAGATTTCACTTGTCTCCAGCAAAGAATGATGATTAATTACTGATTGGGCTGATCTACAAAATAGAAAAGAGAGGACTTTAAAAGATTATACTTCCTTTGCTTACGTTCCATATGACTCATAAATGCTTTCAACATTCAATATTTAGTATTTTTCTCTAAAAGTTTGAGTCTCTTTATATGAGAATGCTGTGCATGTGTATGTGCATGTGTATGTGTGTGTATGTGTGTCTTTCCTTTATGTTAGACTACAATATAACTTTATCAGAACAAATAATTTCATGAAAAGTGATTCTTCTTTACCTTCTTACACTTTTGCCTATATTCCTTACCTTCTCTGTTTACCTTAGTAATATGTCAGCTTGGAGGTGTGTCATGAATCAGTATTTAATATGAATTTTAAAAAGTATATCACAAAGAATAATAAATATGTCTATAGGCTTTAGGAGGGAAGTGAGAGTTTTTTTAATGTTACTTGTATATGGAAATGTACATCAATTTCTGGGAAAATAGCCTGAATCTTGTGTGTCTCTATATATTTATTTTTAGCAAATCACCAAAGGATGGATATCAGGAAAACATTTCTGGAAGATATATACAAACTGTTTATTCAACTTCAGATAGGTGAGTAAGTTTATATTTCCAATCACAAATGAATATATGCAAACACACATGGACACAAAGCATATATACAGAGTGTATTAGTTATCTGTGCATCTGTGTGACAAAATACCTAACATAAAAAAACTTAAAGAAAAATTTAACTTGGCTTCCTGTTTAGAGAGTTCAGCCCATGGTTTCCTGTCCCCATGCACTTGGACAGAATATCATGGTGGTGGTAATGTGTGATGGAGGAGAATCTTACCTCATGGCAGACAGGAAGCAGAGTGAGAGGAAAACACAGGGGGGTTGGTATAATTTTCAAAGGTGTTTCCTAGTGACCAGATTCCTCTGGCTAGGCTTTACTCCCACCACCCAGAGTTTCCATAGCCTCTCAGCTGGGGACCTAGGGTTTAAAACATGGACTCTGAGCGAACATTTCATACTCAAACTATACCATACCCTTACAGATGCATATATTTAGATATTCTCATTGTCTTATATGCTAGAGCTAGTTCTCATAATGATAGTTGGTATACACATGTATGAAAAGAACAGAACACAATTCTACATCTCAGATTTTGCTTTTGATTTCCTGGCGCTGCTTTTCTCTGATTTTGATTCTACTGCAGTAGCCCTTTCTGTACCTTACAAACTGTCTCCTAGGTGAGCTCTTTTGCTGTTGCTGATTTCAGGTGTCTGGCCGGCTATATTCTTGGGTCTTATTGCATCACTACACTGCCCCTAGCCTTCCTTCCTTGTGGTTTTCCAAAGCCGGCTCATCTTACAAGCAGTTGTGTGGTTATACTACTGGGTCATTTCTGCACCCAACTCAGCTCTCTGAGGGTGTACTGATTTAGTGCTGACAAACCAACTGACCTCACTCTAGGCTTACATTCCTGGGGATGGATCCTCTTTACTATTTAATGTTCAGTGAGGAGAGTGTGGCCTGCAGATTTCTAGTGGGGTAAATGAAACTAATCAGCATTTCAACTCAACCACCAAAAATAAGCTATACTGCAAATAGCTGTTATTCCACCAATGATGGTTCTTTATTACAAGGACTGAAAGTATTACTCACTGAGAGAAAGACCATATCTCAAAACAAAACTTCTTTTGTTCTCATTGGCAACATTGTAACAGGGTTATATCTTTCTATAGGATATAAGTTTTGTAATAATAGATATTCCTCTGTTTTTCTTTTACCATAATAGTAAGAAAGATGTTCTTGTGACTCTAAAATTTAGAGTCCAGGATACAACAGACCCACCAATTTTGAGTCTATTTTTGGCCTATTGAATGTCTTTTTTTTTGTTGTTGTTGTTGGTCATAGAGCTTGAACTCTGGACCTGGGCACTGTCCCTCAGCTCTTCAGCTCAAGGCGAGCACTCTACCACTTGAGCCACAGTGCCACTTCCAGTTTTCTGGTAGTTTATTGGAGATAAGACTCTCATGGACTTTCCTGCCCGGACTGGCTTTGAATTGTGATATTCAGATCTCAGCCTCCTGAGTAGCTAGGATTACACGCATGAGCCACTGGCGTCCAGCTTCTATTGAATGTCTGAGAATTAAAAATTTACATTATCTGCAACATAATTTTCTTATGCAATCCATAAAACGATCTATGTAAATTAATAATTAACAACCCTCATCTAGCTTCAAGGGATACGTATGTCCTAGTTCAAGCATATTTGTCTAGCTGCACTCTTGATTGCTGATAAATTAATAATTTGAGCATTTCCCTGATGTTAATTCTTTAACATCATTTTGGGGTAACGAAAGAATCAATTTTATTATTAAAATAAATTAACTCTGAGCTTTCCTGGAATTTAGTGTAATTTCCTGAAGTATCCTCAAAATTAATGTTATCATTTTTACATGACTTTATAAAGAATATATCTGCTTCATTTTCAATTGTCTACGTCTTTATAGGTCTGTCATTGAAAGGGACATGTGTACTTATTGCCGCAAACCCTTGGGTGTAGAAACTAAAATGATTTTAGATGAATTACAAATTTGCTGCCATTCCACTTGCTTTAAGGTAAGCAGGTTTTTATTTTGCTTAACTAAATGTGAAATTGCATAAGGACATGTAAAAATATCTATTGAAACATGTAGAGTGAAGTTAAATCTTTAAAACATAATCCTTATTAAAATACACTACTTAACCATCCAAAGTTAGTAATTATTATCCTGGCTTAGAATTGATTATGGATACATCTATTCACTCTTCCACTAGAAATTCACATCTGTGAGAAACATAAACACTTGTTCTTTTTAGAAAAGGTGAAATATTTTAATAAATCATGCTTTATATATGTATAGAGAGATTATGAAATTATGACTCATAGGCTTTAAAATGGGTAAAGTTCAGTCTGCTTTTGAAATTAATTAATTGTAACGAATTGTTGCTTAATCACAAATAATAAATTTTCACTAGCAGAATACTTCACTGCTTCATTTTCATCAGTCACTATTTTTCATTATCACACTAACATTGGGTGGGGTCAATATTATAGCTTTTAGTATAATTGTAGGAGTATTGAAAGGAGAAGCTGAAGACCTGAGTTCTTATTTTACCACTAACTATGGCTATGTGATGTTGGAAAATCACTTAAAGAACATTGGCCTCAGTTTCATTACCTGTAAAATGTGGTAGTTGAGGAGATACAGACTATAATCATCTGAGAAGACTAAGTTAAGGGGGTGGGGCAGAATGTTTGAGACCTTTCTGATTAAACCACAAATCCCAAAGATGATTTTCAGGTATTAGTTTTTGTGGGTGTTTTTGGTTTTGTTTTTTATATTTGTTAGTCATAGGGCTTGAACTCAGGGCCTGTGCTGTCTCTGAGCTTTTTTGCGCTAGGCTAGCACTCTACCACTTTGAGCCACAGCATCATTTAAGGTTTTCTGGTAGTTAATTGGAAATAAGAGTCTCACAGCCCTTCCTTCCTGGGCTGGCTTTGCACTGCAATCCTTAGATGTCAGCCGCCTGAGTAGCTAGGATTATAGGCATGAGCCACCAGTTTCCGTGCATTAGTATTTTTAGTATATATTTGTATATTTAGTATTTTTAGTATATATTAGCTTTCTTAGGTAGATCTAATGTGCAGACAATTTTAGAGCCATTTGTCCAAATCTGGACCCTTTCTAGTGTTGACATTCTGTGCTTGATGTAAATCATCTCACCTGAATAGAAAATTCTCTTGTTTATTGTGCTTTGTGAATAGAAATAATTTTCATCTATTATATTTGAAGTGAAGAATTTCATTTTCAATATGGCTCTGGTATGTGAAAAGCAAAATGTCCCACACTCATGAAAAAGTAATATTTTTCTAGACATGATGATGAATAGTTATGTGAAATGGTCTAAATACAAAATATTGGCCAATGATTTTTGCTTTAATGAGCCCAATTTTGAAAGCTAAGCCACTGACTACCTCTTGTTTGGAAATCAGTTGATCAGCAGTGGTCTCATCTAAACCACAGGTCAATACTTTCTCTTTTTGTAAATTACATTTTTATTATCTTTAAGTAGTTGTATAAGAAGATTATAATTTAACTTGTCTGTTTATGAGCATAATGTATCTTGATCAACATCATCACTTTAATTGTTCTCTCTCCCAACCTTACCCATCCCCTCAATTTTTCTAGCTTCACAGTATGTGTGTGTGTGTGTGTGTGTGTGTGTGTGTGTGTGTGTGTGTGTGTTGAACATTTATCTACATTGTCTCCCTCTCCTCTTCATTAGTTTACCCCCTCTCCTTAATGGAGAATCTGTGTGTACTTGCCCCTCCCCCCACCCCAACCTCACATACCAGCTTCCTGGTATTGAATTTGTCAGAGTATGAATTATCTCTAAGGGATTACACCATTTGAATTTTCTCCTGCATATCCCATATTTTGGTTAATGTGGTTGTATACAAGTTCATATAGTCCTGTATGTTTATTACTTATATATTTATGAATTAGATCTTATTTCTAGATTGATACAACTCATCATAAGAAAAATATCCCCTAAATCCTGTAAGATTAGCAGTTTGTTTTGTTTGTTGGGGCATAGCTGTCCCTTACATAAGCAAATGATAAAGGCAAGTTTGTATCCTTGAAATAACAAATTACAAGTATTATAGCTACTCCATTACTTCACTAGTAGATACTACCCACCCATTAGAGAGATGATATGAGAATTCATTTGAAAAGTATGGTATGTCAATTAGACACAGAGACTCTCGGTTTTCCCCTGGTTTGTCTTGAGACTCTGAGGTCACTAAAGAATATGGTCTAAAATGAAGGGTTTTCTATCTTGATTTCTCTGGAGCCCTAGACTTAGTTTGTAATGTTAAGTGTTATATTTATATATGCACGTGTGTTCTTCTTCAGTGTGAGATATGCAAACGCCCTTTGGAAAATCTACAAGCAGGTGACAGTATTTGGATTTATAAACAGACAATACACTGTGAACCTTGCTACTCAAAAGTTATAGGTAAGTAGTGAGCAGTCACTTTCACTAACACGGATGAACATTAAGTGTTGTTGGAAATTATGTAGTTCAATAAAGTTAAGACATTTTATGAAATTTAGTTAAGAATTCAGCAACAGATAGTTATACTTCGGTGGTATTTTTCAGTAGCTATGGTAATAATCACTTCAGCAAATATAAATATGTAATTATGGTATAAACAAACAATAATCAAAATGTTATTATAATATAAATGTTATAAACTACATAATATATCAAAATAATATAATTTTTTGTCTTCTGATATCAGACAGGACAAAGATTAACTAAGAAAAGACATTGGTTTAGAAAAATTTTCCAGCTTTTTAAGCCAGGCGTTGGTGTCTCATGCCTGTAATCCTAGCTACTCAGGAGGCTGAGATCTGAGGATCGCCAACCTGGTCAGGAAAGACCGTGAGACTCTTGTCTCCAATAAACCACTAGGAAACCAGAAGTGGTGCTGTAGCTCAAGTGGTTGAGCGCTCACCTTGAGCTGAAGAGCTGAGGGACAGTGCCCAGGCCCAGAGTTCAAGCCCCATAACTGACAAAAAAAAAAAAAAATTCCAGCTTTTTAAATGAAAATAGATCTCTGGTAAAATGATTTTTAAATTGAAGCACCTCTCTGTGAATAATTTTTTACACTTGCATTTGAATGCATTCTTTTTTTTTTTTTTTTGCAGTTATTGGGCTTGAACTCAGGGCCTGGGTGCTGTCTCTGAGCTCTTTCACTCAAGGCTAATGCTCTACCTTTTGAGCCACAGTGCCACTTCTGGTTTTCTGGTAGTTAATTGGAGATAAGGGTCTTGGACTGAGATTGGCTTTGAACTGAGATCCTCAGATCTCAGCCTCTTGAGTAGCTAGGATTACAGGTGTGAGCCACCAGCACCTGGCAGCTTTTCACTTTTTAAATGGAGATCACTATCTCCAACTATTTTCAGATCTCAGCCTCCTGAATAGCTAGGGTCATAGAAGTGAGTCACTGGCATCTGACTTCAATGTTACTTTTCAATGACACACACACACACACACTGAATTCTATATTAAATTTGGCATGTAAGATTTTTTAAGCAAGGTTAGAACAAATGTTACTGAAATTTGGACTTTATGTAAAAAAGATGAGAAGAAAATATTAAAGACATGTGTTTTTAAATAACAGCTTTTATAAATTGAACATGAAAATTAAAAGCGACTTAAAAGATGTGCAATGACTACATTAACAAAATAAAGTTCTATGATGCTTTGTCTTTTTTAAAGTGAGTTCTACATTTTACTTTTAGATTTAACCAGACTGATATTGAGGAGAAAGACAGTTGTCCTGGGTGCAAAGCCTTCTCCTGTCTCCACAGCCACGCCAGTGTCTTGGTGTGGAGGGAGGGAACTATTTGGCATTGCTACATGGGGTCTGAAGTATGGAACTTAGTGAGAAATGCGTGAACTTAATGAGCTCCTGGGAAGCTACATCTGGAAAAAAAAATTGAGAAACCCACATTCCATCAGGCTTCAGAGTCAATAATTATAAGATTAATTATATTCATACTTCGCCTCCTATATTCTGCTTTTTCCAGACAGTTCCCATATTCACTTTTCTTTTTAATTTTACAGTGTTATTACAATCTAATATTATATCATGGTTCTTCATGTGAATGACGGTTAGACCAATGACGGTTAGGCATGGCCTAGGGGCTTGGTAACCAAAAGAGTTAGCAGTTGTCCTGTTCCTTCTATACACTCCATGAAGCTTGCATTTTTTTTTCAATGCACATAAGCTGCCAGGATATGATTCTCAGTAATTTAGTACAATGTACTGCTGTCTGGTACTTCATACAGGACCAAAAGCCACAGGTGATGTATGTATGTATTCAAAAATAAAACCAGAAGTCTTACTCTCTACCACTGTGCCCAATGGTCCATTTTTTTAAATTTAATTTTATTGTCAAGGTGCTATACAGAGGGGTTACAATTACATAGGTAAGGTAGTGAGTTCATTTCTTGTTAAACATTGTTACTCCTTCCCTCATTTTCCCCCCAATTCCCCACCAGTTGTAACGTAAATTTCCAATATGCTGTCTTGTGAGTATCACTGCTGCATTGGTTCACCCTTTGCAGTGGTAGATTTAAACTTCACTTGTGAGCTTATTTTTCAGGCTAAATTTGTCCATCTAACTGATTCTGTTTTTACTTTTCAGCCAAATGGATTCAATAATGCTGGCACATGGAAATCAAGATGAAAAAAATTCATTAAGGAATGAATGATAAATTACAAGATGTATTTTACAAAGATGTGATATAGAGAAGCTTTATACTGAAAATCAACTTTGTATACAATTAGCAATTCTGCTATTATATAAATAATCTGATTATCTTCAGTAAGGTCATAGACATAGGAAGAACCATCTGGTATCTGTGTAGATTTAGTGTTAAAAATTTCACATGATTCTAGTTGTCAATGTCAAAGGCAGGGAGTGTTGTCAGCTCAAATCAAATCCATCCTGCCCTATAATTTGGTTATGATCAGGGTTTCCATTATAATTCAATATCTTACTTGTTCACAGTTAATTCCTATAAGAATTTGGATCTGTAAGAGAAATGCTGACAGAAAACTTCTCACAAAGTTTGGCAAAGAGATGGATGTCAACATTAGGAGTCATTTGGGCCTTAGAAAAATTAAACTTTCCAGATTCCTGTGATATTATTTATGACACAAAGAGATTGTAGAAAATGACTTCCAAGATACCTTTATGCTCCTTAAATTATCTGATTCTAAAAGAAGTTTGAGTTTGCTCTTTAGAAATATATTGTTATATGTATCTGTTAAGCTTACGGAAATATTTAGAACATATAAATATATAGAACATATAAACAGTTTCAACTTAGTGCCAACCTTCATTTTATTGCACACATAGTTTTTATAAACTTTTTTTAAGAAAGAAGGAGATTTATGGGTAATAGGTGAAATCATTATATGTACAATTTATGTATTATAATTTGTTAAATTTTCTTTGCATGCATTTCAAAATCCAGGTAAACAAATCATCTATGTGAAGTAATGGTTACGGATGACAAAGACATGTTACTTAGCACTTTATATGTACAAAACACTTATAAAATAAAATAGTTGCTCAGAATCTTTTTTGTGGAATGTCTATATTCATTGACATTGATTTTGTCAGTTATAGTGATCACAATTTTTTATATTCTATGATATGCTGGTTAACTTATCTTTAACTGCTTATGTTATAATTTTCATTTTTATTATATTTAATTTATTAACTTATTTATTTTTAATAGTCCTGAGGTTTGAACTCATGATTTTGTACTTGTTTGGTTTGCTTCCTTGGCTGGTGTACTTCCACTTGAACCACATTTCCAGCCTCACTTTTTATTATTCATTTTGAGGATAGAGCTTAGCATACTTTTCTACCAGGCCATCTTTGAACCATGATTCTCCAGATCTCAGCCTCCTGAGTTGCTAGGATGCTAGGATTACAGGCATTCAGGTACAGTTTTTATTATCATTAAAAATTACTTATTGTTATTATAAAGGTGATGTACAGAGGGATCACAATTATATGAGTCAGTTAATGAGTACATTTCTTTTCGTACAGTATCTCAGTCCTTCCCTCCCATCTCCACCCATGAATTGTATAATTCACTTTCTTTCTTATCTGGTGAACTCTACTGCTGCATTTTTAGTTTTTATTTTTAAAGAGATTTTTTTTTTTTTGTCTGTTATGGGACTTGAACTCTTGGCCTTGACGCTGTCCCTCAGCTCTTCAGCTCAAGGCTAGCTCAAGCCACAGCACCACTCCTGGTTTTCTGGTGGTTTATTGGAGATAAGAGTCTCACATACTTTCCTGCCCAGGCTGGCTTTGAACCGTGATTCTAAGATCTCAGCCTCTTGAGTAGCTAGGATTACAGGCGTGAGCCACTGGTGCCCGGCTAAAGAGATATTTTTAAGTGAAAGAATTGAAAAATCAACAATCACATGAGAAATTAGAATTATTATTAACATTGTGGAATTGAACCTATAAACTATTTTTTTTTTTTGGGTCCGGTCGTGGGGCCTGAACTCTGGGCCTGGGCGCTGTCCCTCAGCTCTTCAGCTCAAGGCTAACACTCTACCACTTGAGCCACAGCACCACTTCCAGCTTTTTTCTTTTTGCTTATGTGGTGCTGAGGAATCGAACCCAGGGCCTCATGCAGGCAAGGCAAGCACTCTACCACTGAGCCACCTTCCCAGCCCCCTATAAACTATTTTATGGACACATAACAACTATTTTTTGAAGGGGGACTTGCTGAGGAAGGTTTTAAGCAGCTGTGGGAAACTGACAGACCAGGGAGATCAAAAGATGATCTTACAATTTGCAAGTGTTGACAAATTCAAAGAACTATTCTGATAATTTCATGCATCTGTGTCTCATAGAATCTGGTCTACAAAGAGTTAAGCACAAAGTACTTATCAAAATACAGTGATGTATAATTGTCTTATGGAGAAAGAGCCAGAAAAAACAATTAATAATAATTTGATATTCATTAATTCATGCTTGATGAGAAGCAGTGATAATTGAGCCATATGTTTTATTGTTCTTTTATTACATGCTATCAAAGTGACTCAAAAGAAATAATTTTCTTCAAGTTAAAATGCACTGCAGAAAAGGGTCATGAAATAGCAGCCCTCCCTTTTCTATAAAGACTATTAGCATCTCAATGCTTCTGTAGTAATTAAAAATTATGTGAATGTCATTTTTTAAAGTATAAAAACCTCAAGGAAACACAGTTCTCACTCTTCTATAGTTGTTTAATGGACGTTTCCTTGTATAATGTTGCATTAAATGCAGCTGTAAAAATGGAATAAATATGGAATGAGAGAGAAAGGTTTCTGATTCAAGACCACTTCATTATGTCTGAATTGATTCCCACTATCAGAATGACAGATTCCAATAACAATTTGTTGGAAGATATCAATTCTTTTAGCCAATTAATTCTATCATGACTGGCATAGATTTCCTGGATATAATTGCCTAAATCTAAGAATATGGTATCCTGAATTAGCTTACTAATTAAAAGATATATCTACAAGAGAAATAATGGTGCCATCATGACAATACCTTTTTAGAGAGCAAAATAAATATAATAATTTCAGAAATAGAATTTGTTAAAATAGTATTTATTTATTTCTTGGTGATACTGAGGTTTGAATTCATTTGAACCGTACACCCAGCCTTTTTTGCTTTCGGGTTTTTGTTTTGTTTGTTTTGTTACATTTTGTTTTTAGATAGGGTCTTGCACTTTTGTCAAGGGCTGGCCTGGGACCACCATCCTGCCTCCACCTCCTCCTGGGTAGTTAGAATTACAGGTGTGCACTCTTACATCCAGCCATCCAGTTCACTTTATGAACAAGATCACACTAACATTATTTTTCTATCTGTCAATAAAGTAACTGGGATCATAGGCATGTACTCCCACACCTAGGTCTAGAATGCACTTTTAATATAAGGCCAAGAAGTAAGAATTTATTCAAGAAGTATCCTGTGCATCCCTAGATATTTGTTTGCAATCATTTAGCTCATTGGATATGAATGTTGAGATGGCCTGACCATCACTGCCAGTTGCTCCCTGTCTTCTTTGGCACGCTGAAAAATCATGTTTGAAAAAAAAATCCTGCTCAGCATGTTCAGAGCTCTGTGAAAACAGGTGATTGATCTGCGGCATTGGCAGCTAACAATGATAGGGTCTTTTGTTTGTGTTATTTGTACTGTAGAATTGTTGTTTGGCACAGTGAAAATTAACTTTTCAGCCTATTCTATAATAGTCAGCATTTAGAGTCACCATACATGTCCTCACTAACTTGGATACTTGGATGGGCTCATTTTCTTCTGTTTAAACCCTGAGGTTTAGAATATTGGCTCTACAATGTAGCCACCAGCTCAAACATAGTATTGAATCTATTCTTATCTGTTCATATTTTTATATGATTTTTTTTCTAGATACCTAAAGTCACACCATTTTTATTTTATTTTGTTTTTTTGTCATGGGGCTTGAACTCTGGGCCTGGGCGCTGCCCCTGAGCTCTTCTGCTCAAGGCTAGTACTCTACTACCACTTGAGCCACAGCGCCACTCCTGGTTTTTTGTAGTTAATTGGAGATAAGAATGTCACAGACTTTCCTGCCTGGGCTGGCTTTGTAGGGCGATCCTCAGATCTTAACCTTCTAATTAGTTAGGATTACAGGGATGAGCTACCAATGCCTGGCCTAAAACCACGAAACGTGTTATGTGTAAGAATTTCACTTGACGTTAACCCAGTGCAAATGTTGGTGCAAGATAAAGTCAGCCCATGCCCATAATCCTGGCATTCAGGAAGCCAAGACAGGATTGAAAGTGTGAGGTCAGCCTGGGGGTCCATAGAGAGAATTTATCTCAAAACCCCATAGGGGAAAAAAGAAGAAAAAAATTAAAAATGATGGGCAGCATTTTGACCCCACCTTTTTTTTTTTAAATTGGATCTGCCATTTGTAAAGTACTGCTTCTGAAAGATGAAAGGTGAGGTAGGTAATGAGTTTAGTTTTTTCATTATGAGAGGGAAGTAAACATCTTAGCAATACCATCCATAAAGGACCTTTTAACTCCATTGTCCTTGTGTTCTCTTTGATGTAAATATCTAATCCATACATTTAAATATCCACTTCCTAGTCACTGTATAAACAAACTCTTGGTTTATAACCAACCATCAATCATTCTATTATGAAACATTTTTGGAGGGAACTTGCTATTTTCTAAGTCCTCATGATGAACAAAACAGCTAAAGCTCTTGCCCAGTCACACAGACCTTAAATTAAGTGCAGAACATTTGGAAAACAGAACACAAACATCGTCATTCTGACATTATGAAGGTTCATACAGGAAATGAAACAGAGTTACTCTGTGTGATCTGAGTAGTTTTAAAAATAGTGTAGTATCTGGGCTGGGAAGGTGGCTCAGTGGTAAAGCACTTGCCTTGCATGCCTGAGGTCCTGGGTTCAATTCCTCAGCACCACCCACATAAGCAAAAAGAAAAAAGCCGGAAGTGGTGCTGTGGCTCAAGTGGTAGAGCACTAGCCTTGAGCTGAAGAGCAGGGACAGTGCCCAGGCCCAGAGTTCAGGCCCCACGACCGGACCCTCCCCCCACAAAAAATAGTGTAGTATGATATAGAGAAAATATTTTAAATAGTATTCGAATAAACAGAAGGTCCTAGAATGGAGAAAGACTTCTAAGAGATGCTGTATTAAAAGGGCTCTTGGTATGGTGGTTTATGCTTATAATCCCAGCTATTCTGTAGGTAGAGATTGGGAACATAGCAGTTTGAGGCTAGTCTAAAAAGACCCTATCTCAATAAATATTCTGGGCATGTAATTCTAATCCCACCGGCTTGGGAGGCATAGATAGGAGGATCACTGTCTAAGGCTGGCCATAGGCAAAATGTGTGAGACCTTATTGGAAAAAAAGAAACAAAAAAAAAGAAAAGAGGCTTGGGTGCATAGCTCAAGCGCAGAGCACTTGATTGGCAAACATGTGGATTCAAGTTCAAAGTATAGCAAGCAAATAAATAAATAAATAAATAAATAAGGGTGCAGTCTTAGATTTGGTGGAAATTAAACTAGTGTTGAGTAAACCAGAACTGCTTCTTCTAAATATAGTATAATGAGATGAGAATGAAAAAACTAGGAGGCAGAACAATCAAAAGACTATTAAGTTTCACCTATTACTTTGTAAAACAATGTTCAGATTTTATTTCTTCTGCTTTATGCTCTCTGTTGAGTCCTGCTTAGCCCTGGACCCAAGGCTGAAGTCACTCATCTGGGCAAAGTAGACCACAAGCTTATTCTTGGTGGACATGCTATTAGGTGGTCCCTTAATAGTTTTTCTTTGTGAATTTTACTTCCATTCCTAAGAGATAAAGGAAGGGTAAAGGGTCAAGGATTCTCGAGGCCTCTAATGGCCAACTGGACACATGCTTATGTGGCTAGGCCCTAAGTCCAGTGAGACTTTGATGTGATTCAACAATAGAACCACTGCCAGGAGGCTGGAGTTAGTGAAGAGAGGGTGTGAAAGAAAGAGACGAGG